TCCTCGGCTTTAGCCAGATTCAGTGAAATCGGAAGTATTAATAGGAGACTTGTTTGTGGATCTTGTTGCATTATGACACCAAGGAATGACAGAAATATTGTTATTACTGAAAAAAAAACAACCATTTTCATAATTGTGGATTAATGGTTGACTGTAGTGAATAATTGAAGAGAAGAATAGTTGCGGTGATCAATAAAAAAAAATTAGTAAAAATAAATAATTATTTCTATTTTTATTTTTGCCGATGTTTCGATCCAAATTTCAGACCTTCATCAGGGGGCTAAGAAAAAAAAAAACAGATAACAATAGGTATGAGAAACGATAAACATTAAATAATAAAAAATTAATATGTAGGCGAAAGGTGTAGTCTAAAAAATTTAGGTAGAATGAATTTAAAGTAAAATAAAGTAGGTAGAATAAACTTAAAGTAAAATAAGGTAGGTAGAATAACAACAGTAACAGCTAAGAAATAAATAATAATGGCAACAAAGAAGGGACTAATGAAACAAGCATAATCAAATAAACATAAACATAATCAAAATAAGGTAACATAAGAGATGAAAAATGAATTAACAACGAAAAGTAGTGGAATGTATGAGATAAAAATGTAAGTGTAGACAAAAAATAAATGGGGTGATATAGTTGCTAAAATATGATGTAATACTATTCTAAAAGGAAGTGAGATAATCATAGCATAAAATGTAAAACAGAGAAAAGGAATATGAAGTTATATAAGGAAATAATAGATATAAATAGAAAATAGAGATACTGTAAAATCTATCAAAACATATTGACAACGTGTAAGAGAATAAAAAGTTAAAATAATGTAAATAAGATGTAATGAGCAAATGTATCAATAAGCACACAATAAAGGTGGAGATATAGAAAGGAGAATAATAGGAAAAAGGAAAAGAGGAGAAAACTAAAATAAGAAAGATAGACCGACCTGATCAAATGAAGTTTGCCGCAAGACAGACATTTTATAGTAAGAAACAGTTGAACTTATTCAACACTCTCTGTAACGGTTAACTGAAATACGTGAACTTAAGCACAGAAACGTATATAATGGACGAGAGGTTTATTATAGATAAATTCTATGAGTTATTAAATAAAGAGAATGTGTAACTGTGTAATTGAAAAGGAATGGAATTAAGGTATCTGGAGATAGTATAATGCAGAGATAATAAATATTAAATAATAATGGAGTATCACTGAAATAAACGCAAAATGTGAGATTAAAGAAAATGAAAATTAATGAAAGAGATAGTATAATATAATATAATATAAATTAAAGATAATATAGTATAAATTAAAGATAATATAGTATAATAATATAATAAGGTATAAATTAAGAAGATAGTATAATGCAGTGATAATAAATATTAGAAAATAATGGAGTATTACTGATCTACGTGAAACGTGAGATTAAAGAAAACGAAAAATGAATTAAATTAAAGGGAAATGAGAAAGTCTTTATAAAGCAATTAAGAAGATAGTATAAGGCAGAGATAATAAACATTAAAGAATAATTGAGTATTACTGATCTATGTGGAATGTGAGATTAAAAACAAACGATAAATGAATTGAATTAAAGAGAAATGAGGAAGCTGTCACCGAGAGAGGTTTAAAAAAGAGTTTTAAAGAATAAAAAAGTGTTTACAAAATACTGCTACAGATGTTTTAATAAATTCAGAATTCAGGAATAGGACAAGGATAAGTTTTGTTTGTTCTGTTTGATAGAGCCACTTCGACTCGGTGTAATACTGAGTAGTATACGTATCTCTTGAGATTCCAAAAACAAATCGTAATGCGCAATTCATTAGGCGATCTCTCGAGAGTCCAATGTACACCATACAGCCATAGTCGAAGTAGGGGAAAACAAGGGAGGAAAGTTGACAGGACTAATATGGAAGGAGATAATGTAGACGATTGAACAGTTTTAGGATGGAGATAGTGCAACGAGAAATTTGGGAGATGAGTGGTTTCCAGGAGAGGGTTTGATCAAAAGTAATATCTTGGTTTTTAACGGTAGTGTGGAATAAGATAGGTGAGTTGTTGAGGAGAAGATTGGGGGATACCGGGAAGGATTTGAGGAGAGAGGGGGATCCGATCAAGATGGCTTTCGTTTTCTCGGCGTTCAGAGTGAGCCTGTTGAGGTTTGCCCAAGCACTTATTTTATTAATATCTTCTTGGAGTTTTAGAGTGGCATCTGAGAAATAGGTTGGATTAAAGGAGAGGTAAATTTGAATGTTGTCAGCATACAGGTGGTATTGACAGTGCAAGATAGAGAATGGGAGGTCATTTATATAGATGGAGAAAAGGGTGCTGGGGATAAGAAAGAGCCTTGTGGAAGCCTCTGGACAGAGGTAGAGATTTTGATGGGGGGTTATTAGGAATTACAACATACTGGGAGCGACCGGTAAGGAAGGATTGGAACCAATTAAGGGAACTAGAAGAAAAAGAGATATTTCTAAGTTTGGTTAGGAGGATGTTTTGGTCTATGGAATCAAAAGTTTTAGAGAAGTCGAGAAGAATGAGGATAGTTAGTTTCTGCTGATCTATGGCTGTGTGAAGGTCTTGGAAAATTTTGATTAGGACAGACTGAGTAGAATAACCAGATCTGAAACAGGACTGGTAAAGATTTAGGAGATTATTGTGCTCTAAAAATGAGACAGCTGGGATTGGATTAGTCACTCTAAAGGTTTTGAGAGGTTTGGAAGTAGGGAAATTGGTCGGAAATCATTAAGAGCTAATGGGTTTGGGATCTTCTTCAAGGGGCGTACTAGAGTGGTTTTCCAGGATGTAGGGAATGTAGCCTTTTGAAGAGAATAATTATATACATATATATATATATATATATATATATATATATATATATATATATATATATATATATATATATATATATATATATATGATAAAGGATCGGAAGAATGGATGGCAGTGCAGCTTTAATCAGTCTGACTGGGATGTTATTGGGACCATAATCATTGGTGTGGGACTTCTGAATAGAGTTAAGCAGATTATATGGGAAAAAGAAGTGATCAGGATTAAAAGAGGAAAACATAGGAGCCAGAATGGACATAGCAGATGTGGTTGCAAAAGGGCAGGAGACAAAGTGAGCGTTGAGGTTATCAGCAGAAACGGAATTGGACTGGGACTGAGGTGTATTACCAATGTTCAGTTTTCTAAAAATAGCCCACGTGGCCTTGGTATTAGGGGAGTTGGATAAGGAATGATGCTAGTAACGGGATTTAGCATGGCGACTTCTGATTGAGTGCAGTTTTTAAGGAGAGAAAATCAACAGTAAGTCGAGTTCGTTTAAACCGTCGCCTTGAAGCATCTCTTTTTCTCATACACTCTCTCAAAGCAGGAGTAAGCCAAGGAACGGGAGGATGTCGGATGGTTTTTGTGATAAGAGGAGCATGTCAGTCGAGAATAGAGTGAAGATGAGTGGTAAGGGTTTCTACCATGGTGCCGATGGATTTTGAGGAGTAGATGGGATTCCACTGGATATCGTCAAGATCATTTGAAAGCGTTTCGTGAGTGAGAGAATATAGGTTTCAGAAGGATTTGAATTGGATATGGTGTTGTTAGGATTCCTTATGATGAGAAGATCGAGAAAAGAGCCTTTTCATAGTTCCCGACAGAGCCTAAATGAAGTTTCTAATGGTCTGCCAAGGCCCATATTAACTCAAACCACTTGTAATTGTTTGTGAGAAGTTGGTCAAACATCTTATTTAAGACGACCTGTAGCAACAGTTCATCACCGGCAACTCCGCAGATTATGGTGTAGCGAGCGACTTAATGAGGATACAAATTGGAAAGCTGTTATATTTATAGACAGGTCCCATTCCTGTATTTATAGTGATCGTGGGTGCCAAAGAGTCTTCTGAGAACATTTTATGCTTTCTTCAATGCAGTCTATAGGTGGGAGTGTGATGATAAGCGACGGCTATCAACTTACGAGGAAAGACTACTCCTTATTGTGGAAGATAATCTCATTGCATGTCGTTATGCTCAAGATATTATAGAGGAGTACATTCCTCAAACCAGGACCATAATTGGCACATATTTCCATTTATTTTATGACAATACGTGACCTCATAGGGGAAAAGTTGTTCATCAATATCTTGAAAATGTGGACATTTCACATCTGCCCCTTCCAGTAATGTCTCCAGATCTCAATCTCTTTGAACATATGTGGAATGCATTGTAGAGAAGGCTTTTTGACCACCATCTGCACCTTCTAAACCTTCAGCAACTGAGAGCTATATTAAAATGTTAATGATATGGAATTCCTTGTGAAATGAGTGATAATATTATAAACAGTATGCCCAATAGATGGGGTAGTGCGTAACAGAAGATATTACACAAGTTATTAAATTTTACAGAAGTCTTACAATTTGCAATCATAAAAGCAAAACCACAAAAATTTTTAATTTTATTATTTGTTTAAAACATTTTTTATAAAATATCCCGAGGTCAAATACAATATTATTTGTGTTAATTTTCAATGTAATTTATAATAAAACTAAAATAAATATTCTAGTTGTCAAAACTATTTAAGGAGGATTTTTGAGAGGCCAAACTACGCTAAGTTGCTTTTTTTTTATTAAATCATGGATTTTCCACAATGTTTTTTTATCATTTTACAACTATACTGCAGATACCCCACTTTTATAAAAACCATAAAAAAAAAAAAACCCACTTTCTTGTTTAATAAGCTTTAATTACATATCAATTTATTTGAAGTTTGTATTAGAATAGAGTTGAAATTCATAGAGCTCTTGAATATTAACTTGAGCAGGAATTAAGTTAAGCAAAAGTTTTGTGATGCACGCACCACAGCAGATTTATTTTTATATATATCATACTTACAGTTCATATCTAGAGAAATAGTATTTACTAGTCAAATAACAATATGCATGTATGAACAATATGCATGTTATTGCTGAAAAACTGTTTATTACTTGATTAAACTCAATTCATCATATTACCATCATATTCCTCGAATATAGGAGTCCTAAATATATAATATTCGGTTATCAAGTCCCATAGTGCATACTGTAAGGTGTTCTTAAGTTTATTTATCAATGCTTCTTTGTTAATTCTGCCTTGTTTCCACAACCTGATTTCAAGTAATACCTCTGGACCTAAAAACATTATCAATAATAAAATAATCTATGGGTGAATTAAAATAGACTGACAATTATATAAAACTTTATATTATAATATAAACTTGTAATATTTTATATCTACCTTTATTGATGATATGCTGATTTTACTAGGGTATTAAATATGAAATGAAATGAAATGAAAATAGCTATTATTATGCAAAACAAAGGAAATTACAATACAGTGTACTCGTAAAATAATGTTTACTACTGTTTTCTGAATTTATAATAATAATAATAATAAAATACTTAGAGAAAACCCGAAGGTTCGTTACTGACACCACCAATCGCTGTCTACACACCTCCCTCCAATGGTTGCCGTCTAAACCCAGTCCATTCAGATCGGCTTTAACGCAATCTTCCCTCCTTTACTTCAGTCTACCCCTCAGACGTTTACTAGTTGACACAGCAAATATTAACCTTTTAGGAATTCTTTCGTTACTAAGTCCAACAATTATATAAGCCAATTTTATTCAGTGTGATGTTATCCCCTCAATTATATTAACTGGATACAATTCATGAAATTCGACGATATGTAACCGCCTGGACTTTCCGGTTAGCTCACCCTTCTTTGGTTCGAATATTCTACGCAATACTTTATTTTCAAAAACCTTAAGACGTTGCTCATCCCTTGATGTAAGCAGCCACATTTCGCGTTCATAAAGAACCGTAGATAGGATAATGGTTATTTAGATTCTAATTTTTATGTTCAGGGATTTTGTCACAGAAAAATAACAAGCATTTCCCACCTTCAGCCTAACCTTAATCTCCTCTTCAATTTCGTTTTTTCTAGTTATTGACTAGTTATAGACTCTAGAAACATAAACTTCTCTGTGTTCAAATATATTACCTTCTATATGGATATCAACGGAATTATCACCGTTTTTGTAGCCAACCATATATTTTGTCTTATTCGTATTTATCTCGAGCCCTAGTTTTTTACTGGTTTTCATTAACGTTGCCGTATTTAGTTTTATAATTTCTCTTTCTTCGCTTAACAGGACCAAATCATCAGCATAGTCAAGCACGGGTGTTATCCCACCCAGATTTTATCCCTTTTCGGAACGCATTACCCCTCTAATAGCATCATCTAATGCCAAATTAAACAGGACAGGTGAAAGGGAATCACCTTGTTTTAAACCCGAAGTAACCTCAAACTTTTCGGATAAATAATTAACGATTCTAACTTTATTGAGCATTTTCGCCAAGCACATCCTAACTAGATTTACTATTTTTTTTGGAATCCCCTACTCGATTAAAACATTATACAGCTTCTGGCGGTCAATAGAAACAAAAACCTTTTTGAAATCGACAAACAGCTGATGAACAACAGCACTGTATTCTATTTTTTCTTCAATATTTGCCATGAAGAAAATATTTTTTCAATAGTTGTTCTGTCTAAATCCGCATTGATGGTCTCCGATAATTTCCTCGGCTTATTCAGTGATTCAATTATTAAGGATTAATGTAAATATTTTATAACATACCAGAAGGAGTGAGATTCCTCTATAGTTATTAAAATCCGTCCTCGATCACTTTTTATGAATCAGAATAAGAATAAATTCTTTCCATTCTTCAGGCAATTTCTCATTCTTCCAGATCTTTCTAACCAATAAATGTATTTTATTGAAACTCCAGCTTCCCTGCATGCCTTAATTAGTTCACTAGAAATATTATTTCCCAGGTTCCCGCTGCAAGGTTTTTCGCTGTCAGTTGGTTGTATTTTTCTTGTATCCCAAGAGTTAGGTAAGCCCCTTCTTCCTTTTATATATATATATATATATATATATTCTTATATATTTTTAGCCAGTTCTTCTCTAAATATTTTGACTGCCTCTTCAGTTTGTAATTTCAATCCCCTGTTACCATATTTAAATGGTCACTTTTATTTAAATTTATTTAGATATATTTTTCCTCTAATCATTCTATGATCCGGGATAGAATTTAGGTTCTTAATAACTTCAATGTTTTTCACTAAGGCAATTTGATTTATAAGAAAATAGTCAATCTCAAATTTTTGCTCTTTTGGTGACATCTATATCCATTTGTTACATGGCTTTTTGTAAAATATGTATTTCCAATATGGAGATTCTGGCCAAATGCTAAGTTGATTATTCTAGTTCCTCCTTCATCCCTCTTTCCAAATGTAATTTTTCCCATTATGCCTTCTTCTTCCAATCTTTATCCAATGCGTCCATTGAAGTCTCCCATTGCGATAAAACAATTATTTTACCTTTTAAAACTTGACAGACGTCTTTCGAGCTCCAAGAAAAAGTCATCCTTTTGGACCTCAGGAGTAGAAATAGTCGGTGCATGCAATTGAATGATTGATATGGTTTTGTTCTTGGCATTAAATATAGATATGTTTAATGATTAAAATATTTGTACTTCTTGAAAATCAATTTGGTCACTAAGTTTTCATTTTATCAATAATTATAAGGGGAGGTTATAGACGTGGGTTCACCGATTTCAATGAAATGTTTTTTGGTGATGCTAGGACAAAAAATATTAGACCCATGTCCAAGGAAAAAAATGTTTTATAAAAATTTAACATTTTTTTATATTATTGTTTATCTTTTCTGTGCATGGATTTTTATGTTATCTATATCAATAATATATCAATCAATTGGTTGTTTTTTTTTTGTTTATAATAAGAAAAAGGTATTGCTAATTGTATTGAATAAATTCAAATGTACAATTTGTTAATTAATATAATAAAGCACTTCATAATTGTTATTAGTGTCATTTAAAACTCTTAAATACTATTTTTTTTTTAATCAAAAATTATAAATTTCTGGACTCAATTTTATAAGAGAATTTTTTTTTTCATGCTGTTTACAAACCCAATCATAACTTCTTAAGATTTTCTCCCATTTCAACATTACTATTGGATTGTCCAGAAAATAATATAGGATTTTGAGTTTTCTTTAAAATACTCCTCTATATAACAAACTGTTTACATTTACTGGATTACTCATTTATATGAATTTCAACATTTATTAATCCTTTGTTTACCTCTGTAGTATTTCGCTGCTTAGAAATAATTCAGTCTTTACTAAGATGTCAACGCATGATTTTCATAAAATTTTGTTTTACGAGTTTAAACTCGGCCAGAATGGGGCTCAGACAGCCAGAAACATCAATCAAGTCTGGGGCAAGAGCAGCATTACTGAGTGCACTGTTCAACAGTGGTTCAAAAAATTTTGGGAGGGAGACTTCAGCCCTGAAGACAAAGACGGTCGTGGAAGGACTTCCTCTATTGATGATAATGTTATGCGGGCTTTGGTGGAAGAAAACCCCAGAACAACTGTTCGAGAACTTGCAGTAAAACATAACATTAGAAAATCGACCATCGATGACCACCTCAATGCGATTAGAAAGGTAAAAAACCTTGAAAGTTGGATTCCAAAAACATTAAACAACCGCCAAAAAAAAACAAAAAAAACAGCGTTTTACAGTTTGTTACAAATGGTATTGTAACCAAATTAATGCAATGCATCAGAAATTGGCAATAACGAAGCCATCTTTGGTCAACCGGAAGGAGCCCATTTTGGTCAATGTATGCCCATTGATAATGACCGGCCGGCCACATGTCTCACGTGTGACGTCACAAAAACTGTTGGAGTTGGGATATGAAACTCTGCCACATCCGCCCTACTCTCCGGACCTCTAGCCTATGGCTTATCATTTTTTAGACACCTGGACCACTACTTATGTGAAAAAAAATTAAATGGACAAAGGGAATTAGAAAATGGATTTTTGGAGTTTATCAATTCTAAAGATGGGAAATTCTATTCCGAGGTAATGGAAAAGTTGCCAACACGTTGGCAGGAATGTATTGATAGTAGTGGAGACTATTTTAATTAAATAAAACAGTTGTAAATCTTTCTTTTTTCCTTTTTAACCAAAATCCTGCATTATTTTCCGGATAATCCAATATATCAGTTGGAATTTTTATTTTTTTAATGCTATGAAAATTCGTATTAATGGTACTTCGAGGTGGGAAATATAAATTTGTTTCTCCTCTAAAATATATTGGCAAAGTTGATTACTTCTTTGGTAGGTACAAATTGTTTCAATATTGTATGCATACTATAGGTTTATGCCAAATATAAATGTTTTTCCTTAACCAGACGGATATCGAAAGAAAGATTACATGCACAAAATCTGGCATGTTGTCCGAAAATAGAGAGAAATACTTTATTGAAAGTAGTACTACCCTACTATATATTGCTTTTTACACAGCATACTGATCAATCTATATGGACATAGCTCTTACATCATATTATTCCATTATTATATAAACATATCTTTTTTTTTTTATCCCTTTTCACAGCACTAGTCCATATACTATATCATTAACAATACCACATTAAACAATTACCGTTATGCAATACATATATTTTATGAAAGAAAAAAAAATACATATATTCGAATGCTAGAAATACAAGACTAAATCGCACACATATATCAACGCAATTCCTTGAATATAGACAAAAAGATAAGAAAAAATTAAAATGAGATAAATAAATAGATAAATGACAAAGGACATTCTAGATCCACAGCCAATTGCTATACAAGTGATAGTGGATGATCCCAAGAGAGTCCAGAATAATATTCTCAGCCAATATTGCAAGTTTCCCAACATTGACACCCAGTTCCTCGAGGAAGCTTCTTGTTCTTTTTGGGATCGACAAAGGGACCTAACTTCCTTTGACTGTCCACTGGCTCCTGGGAATCCATGCAAAGGTGAGTAATTGATGTTGAGTTTTAAGATATTGGACCATTCTGATCCCGAAAGCACTTCCTTTTGGCATTTGCATTTATTAGCTTTCAGGGTTTCTTTAAAATGCTGAACTCCAATGCCTTGCCGCCTGCAGCTGGCCCATTCTTCAAAAGAATTTTCTCTTAGCAACTGTCATGGAGCTCTCACATTTTGGTGGCCCTCCCAGTCTTTCTGCACATTCTGTGATTTCCGCATTATAATCAAATGTGGACTGGAACAGAGCATCCAGTACATAAGAGCTAACCAATTTATCTAAATTTTTGTTCAATTTGGTCACCATTTCCTCAATCAGTACTCAGAGCTCTCCCGAAAATATACATCCTATATATTTTAAAGTCTCACCAACCTTTACTGAATCGATAGTTTCTCTGTTCTCTAGGGAGAGCTTTGTTTGTTGCAGCTCTCCTTTATTGATTATTAAGCCCACACTTTTTGTGGATTTACAGCTAAACCAATCTCGGCGAGGATCCTCTGCACACAATTGATAATCCTTTCTGCAGCACTCTTGTCACGTCCCATAACAGCCTGGTACTCTTGGTCCCTGGTTAGTTGGTATCCATAAAGCTTCGAAAATCCCTGCTCACACAGGTCGCAGTATAGATGGTCTATAGCCAACTTGAACAGCAAAGGCGATAAGGGTCCATCTTGGGGTACTCCTCGCCGAACTTTGATTGAGTTTGTCGAGTGGGCTCCGACTTCAATCTTGATTTTGTTAGAGCCAAGGAGAGCCGCAATCACGTTTTTCAGATCTGGTGACAGTCCTCTAGCCGAGAACTTTTGTGTTCAAAATCTTGCCTAAGGGTGGAACCTTCAATTTGTTTATGGAAATTACAAAAATTGTGATGCATTTAAGATTACTCTATCTGTCAACACGAAATTTGTCAGAGATTTAGGGCCCTATAAACTACATGCATTGGCACAAACTAGATCCTCATAAACAAATTAGAACCGTAACTATAAAATTAAAACATTAAAAAGTAGTTTTATCTTATACAGGTGTAAAATCTAAAATATATTGATATGGTTTGTATAAGTAATAATTCAGCTTTCCAACTGATGTAGTAATGTTGTAATAGAAGAAAATCCTGAGAAGTTATGAATGGTTTAGTAAATGTCATGAAAATAAATCCTCCCATAAAACTAAGCCCAAAATTTTGTATTTCGTTATTATAAATTTAAATTTTTTAATACAAATAGACATATGTTTTTTCTTATTTTCACAGCAAAACAAAAATCAATAATATAAAAAATATTAAACAAACTTCTTTTTGGTTTTGCAAAGAATCCTAAGACATAGGCCTAATATTTTTCGACTTCATATCACCAAAAAAAATTTCATTCAAATATGCGATACCAGGTCCATAACCTCCCCAATTAAGTGAACATGGTAAATAAGGAATAAAAATACAACTCACATAATTCTGTTTCTGAAGAATCAAAAACTTCACATGTTGTTAGTTTTTCATAATTTTCTCTATCTAAACAAACATTTAAGTCCTCAAATGGAGCATTTTTAAAATCTTTGTTTGAAATAACATTTCCACTTTTATCAACAAGAGAAATAGCTAAACAAGCTATGCCTTTATTTCCTGATACAGGGCTTTGATTATATAAAAATAAGTTAGAGTCATTGATTCTTTTTTGAGATCCTTCTGGTTGAGAATAATCCTTAAAAATAAATAAAATATAATTTGTCATGCATACTAATAACAAAACATGTGGAAAACGTAATAATCATTTGTAAATACATTAACTTACTTGAAACTGACATCGGGTATCGATATATTTAGGAGAAAACAAAAATTGTAATATATTTTGCTTTAAATAGTAGGACAATGCTCCCAAATATGGGTAACAATATTTAGGAAATGATATCTAAAATAATAATGATGAGTTAATGCTTGTTTAACTTCTTTGAAAATACATATATGTATAGAAAAATACTGAGTTATTAGCATAGATATATGAAATTATTAATTTTTATAAAAATCGATTAATTTAACTTCATGAAAGATAAGAAAAAGGATAAAAAAAAAAATCAATAATTTAAAAAAACCAAAATTCAGTTATTATAAGGTTTAATGTTTTGGAGGAAATTGAGATTGATTTAATTCCTTAAAGTTTGATAAAATCAATGAAACGGTATTAAAATGACACTTTAATGTTTCCTTTACTCTAAAAAATAATTGTAGCTTCAACTGGGAAAATTTGGGCTCTTACAGGCAATTTTGGCAAACGAAAAAAGATTTTATATTCTCCAAAAAGGGTGTCCCTTAAGTAGAAGGAAATTTTGATAGAAGTTATAGCAGGGGGCAGAACTTAACTTAGTTAAGCTGCTCGAATGTCTTCTTTAAATGGTTTTAATAATGACAAACTCTCTTTTGAATTAAAGTAAATTTTGTCTAGTTTATAGCGAAGTAATTGTTAATTACTTAAATTGAATATTTCTTTAACTATCACTTCCTATTCAACAAAAAACATGACTCTTACAAAAACACAAAATTTGGATTTCCTACTTTTTTTTCTGCTGAATTGGCCCATTGTTTATATGAACTTTTCTGTAGGTCTTGAGGTCTACTATCACTCCTATCAAAATTTCCTTATACTTATCGGACACCCTAAATAGACAAAGAAAAGTGATTTTAACTAATTTATTGCTACTTATTGGCCTTTGCAATAAATATGTGACAATCACTCTCTTTATTTAGATACAGCATATAAAATAATATATATATTTTTTTTTGTTGAGCCTAAGATGCCAGCAAGACCCCAGTTGATGGTAATAGTTTCTTTTAAGATGACATGGATGAAAAATTGCAATATTTGAATATATAACTTTTTTTTTTAAGGAACCATCATGTTTGATAGAGGTTTGATTGTAAATGGCAAATAGAATAGGAGATAAATATGTACCCAAGGGAACACCACAGGAGAGGGTCAGTGTCTGGAATGAAGTTGACATTGAACAACTATATACTATGACTGATCTGAAAGGAAGTACTTGAATCATTGTAAGACACTGTTTAATATACAGGACGGTCTTGATAATCCGAACACGTAGATTGCATGATCTGTCTGGATTATCAGAATATTCAGATTACCAAAGGTTAAATTTAAAATTATGGAAAAATTGCATAACGTAACGAAAATATATGTATTATTACTTAAATGTAAAAAATGATTTCTGAAAATATAATGTTGAGTCTCTTATATTATTGCTAAAGAAAACGCCTGATCTTGCAAAGTAGCAGGAAGTACTTGAGGCTTCAGTAGTCAACGTTCAATATGCCCACTACAAGCAAATATTTAATGCCTTCATGGCATTTCTATGACTTACCTATAATGAAAAATAAAGAAAATTTCCAATGAAATATAAATTAAAATACTGCTTTTTAAATTATCAAGCCAATTTTTACTGGCATTAAAATCTGCTTTGTCATCCTTCTTAAAAAAAAGCATTAAAGAAAAACTTTGCCTTTTCAAGTAATATATTCCTAAAAATTGGACACCTCCACGTGATATCTGCTGCAAAAACCACATATAAAGAGATTCTTCAACTAGTGGATGATAGCCTAATTTCAACGTTTTCCCTTTAGAGACAACACAAGACAATTTTGGCACTACAACACAAAGCAATTCCAGTAATAAATATTGAAAAACAGAGCCATTTCCATTCCATCACTTGTCAGTCAACTTTGAATTTTTTGTCCTTCTTGTTCAAATGATCAAGAATTGTGGTTCAGATGATCAAGACCGTCCTGAACAAAGATTTTGTAGTTTGGTAAGGAAGATGTTATGGTCAACTGAGTCAAATTTAAAATGTTATTAGAATTTAGAATTAAAAACATCTAGAAGGATGGGAATAGTTAGTTTATGGTGTTCAATGGAAGTTTTGAGGATGCAGATCATTTTTAAGAGAGCAGATTGTGCTAAGTTACCAGGTTAAAATGCTAGATTGCAGAAGATTCAAGAGGGAAAGTTTCTCTTGGAAGTTGGCAAGTCAATTTTGTAAAAGGGATTCCAGAAATTTTGAAAGGTTAAAGAGGAGAGAAATAAGACTTAAGTCTTGCGGTGAGGAAGGGTTTTGAAATTTGATTTAATGATGAGATAATAGTTATGATAATAGTATAATTACTTCCTGAAGAGTTATTGTTAAATTTATAGTTAAAATGTGAACCGAGTTGTAAGAAAAGTTCTGTGATTGACAATATGTGACAAATCAGGAGCAAATGATACGAAATGGTTATCTACCCTGACTGGGAAAGAACTGAAGTTATTGGATTCTGTTAGGATTAATTTTTGAGATATTTTCCATTTGGATTTAGAATTAATATCATTTAAAATAATTGTAGATTTTAGGTATGAGCATGATCCCGACCTGATCACGTTCCTGCATAACTGTTAGCTTTGAAACAGTACTTCTTTATTAAGTACTGAACCTAAACCCCTTATGTATTGAAGTGGTACAAGTAGATTTGAGGCGAGGGTGTAAACAATAGGTATAATAGAATTCCAGGAATACATATTACCCCAAGGAATATTTCTGATTAGGTTGAAGCAATTCATAGGAAAGTAAGTGCAAACTATGATATATACCACTTTAGGAGTGCAAAATCTGAATAAGTTTGTGTAATAAATGAAAACGGATGGGGTGCTGGGAGGAAAAAAGGATTTTTATAGGAATCAGAAATGTCATTGTCAAAATAGTCGTCAGAAAATTGTGTGTGGATACGAGAAAAACACTGAGGGCCAAACTACTGATAGAGATTGGCATATATACCTTGACAGAGAGCACATTGTCCCTGTATTATTGGGAATTTGCTTAGCAGTGGCAGGATGCTATAGGCTCAACACATTTTACATTGAAGAAAAGAGAAGCATCTTATACGAGGTGAAGCTATTTAGAGGAGGTGCTTCAGGTGGAAGAAAGAGGAAGAACGGAGAAAAGAAAAGGTGTGGGCTGTGCACCAGCCCATTCACAAGTCTACACCACAGGTTCTAAAGATAACAAATATAAAATAATACCACTATTTTAGAAAAAAAAAAAGTTTTACTGCCATAAGTGGCATACACATATACCCTACCAAACATCCAGCTGCTGTAACAACCCGCACAGACTGTAAGGGAAGACATCAATATATTCATACAAAATTAAAATCAATTGTCTTAAATACTTCCAACAATTTAAATAATTAAAAAAGAAATCACATCTTATTACTCAAAAATAAATAAATAAATTATAACAAAAAATTAAAAACCATTAAACAACAATTTTTTTAAAAACGAATAAATGTTTTCTTGTAAAATAAAAATGTATAATACTATAGAGATTGGCCAAAAATATATTTTAATAACTTCATACATAAATTCTATATTTACAGGAGAAAAATTATTTGGATTACCTGAATAATGTCTTCAGGATTACTATTAGGTTTTTGAATAAATTGCACATCATCAGGTGTAAGTTTACACATGGGATTCCTTGCTAACATTACTGACACAACTTCTAAAACAGCATCATCTAGACGATTTTGTAATACTTGAACCAACTCATTTTTTACTTCCATTCCTGAATAATTAGATAAATTGAATTAAAAATTAAAGCAATCTTAAAATAAAAATATTTCAAAAAGCTTATAAGGTTACCAGCTGGAGATATCCCATGAACTTTAAGGGTTAAGAAATCTTCATTTCTTGGACTTGAAATATCACTGAATTCATCCAAAGATTTTAATTTAGGTATAATGTCCTTCTAAAGCAAAATTTAGAATAAATACGTAACAAATTTCAGATTAAGTACATGAAATTCTAAAAATAAAAAAATTGGAATAGATAAATAACAAACAAGCTAATTAATATTCAATATTACACTACTCCTCATTTATTGCATCATTCTAAAATTTTATAAATAATAAATAAATAAAATAATCAAGAACACAAAAGAATGGAAAAAATTATAATTAGATAATAAGAGCAAAATTCCAAAAAAAGCTTTTAGCCTCAAATATTGGTTAATAATTAACAACTCAATGGTTAGCCAATGAAGATATTGTCATTCCATTGCCTTCCTAATATATTACAAGACCTTCAGTTTCATTATATTATAATATTATTATTAAGTGAGAAAAAATATTATATATTGATACCTATTTGAAGAAAAATAAATAATTAATTTCTTAATTTATTTCTTGAATAATAAAATAGGTTATGTAAATGATTTCAGCAAAACTATTTGGACCAATGGATTGTTTTCCCAATAAACTATTTTTAGGGGTCAGTCATAGGATAATTAAATTTCTTTTCAATTTCATCTCAAATAACTTAATAGATTGATTTCATTGTTATCCTTTTAAAAATCTATATTAAAAACATAATACATGAATCACACTTTAAAACAATAATAAAACTATTTACTGTAGAAACATCTTCATTAGTTCTTTTATAGTTTAAGGAATTGATAGAAGAACTTCTTGAAACAGAACCTGGTGAACTATCCTCTTCTGGACCACTGACTTTTGAGTTGAATCTTGTATTTTCATGAAGTCTACAGAAAAAAAAGAAAATGTAAAACAAAATCCAAATATTAATATTTTTTTCTATAACTAAGAGTAACAAATGGCATACTGACTTATACATTCACAGTTTGACTACACTAGTGTGTAAAAAATTAAGTTAATCCTTGAATGCAAAAAGAGATATGTTCATAAAAGGGTGATAACATATAATACTTCAATGTAGCCTTGGGAATAGAGAGCTAATCAGTAAGAAGATGAGCCCCTTCTATTGATGAAAATAAAAAGATAGCTTGTACTACTATAACTCGAGAAGGATCTTAGGTTCAGAAGTTGGTAAGGATGTGCCAACAGTCATGCTAGAAGGTAATTTGAGCAGAATTGCGCTAAACTACAAAGTTTTCCCTTGACCCATTGAAGGAACAGTTGACCACTTTTTACACATACAATTTACTTCTCCTACTCTATTGTCATAAGTTTGGGTAAAAAACAAAAGTATGAAATACACAAATTTCATGACAAAGTAAGTTTTTAAATATGATTATTTTTCATACTTTCATATGAGTCAAGTAACAAAAAAATAATTAAATAAACCAATTTTCGATTGTACAAACATAAATTTTGAAGTTTGCCTGTACAACCTCTGGGATACCACAAGCATCGCAGAGTTGCTTTTTGGCAGTCAGTACCAAAGATATTTTCAAATTGGTCAAAAATGAATAGGTAGAAATAATTCGATATTTGAGTTTTTAAAGTTGAATTTAAGATTTTGTCTGCACAATGACCCACCCGTACATTACAGACATGGCAGCGTTTTTTTTATTTTGTATAAGTAACGATCCTAGTTTCAAATGGGACAAAAAGAAAGAGCTATGAATTAACTTGAATTTTGAGTTTTTAAACATGAATTTAAGATTTTATCTGCATAATGCTCTGCAAATCAAAGACATGCCATAATTTTTTTTACAAACAGGTATGAAAAAACTTAAATTTTTAGTTGTTTTTAACATTTTGGATCAACTGCGATTTTCAATTCCCTCCTACTATGATTGGCAGAGTCAATGATATTGACTCTATACTATTTGTAAATTACATTAATATATCCGAAAATTAGGATGAAATAATTTGATTTTTTTCAACAAGCTCTTAGACTAAATGTTATATGTCAGTTGCATGTTTCATAAGTTAAGTGAGGATCTGTAGTTTCCAAAAACATGATAGTGACATTTTTTTTTTTTAATTTTGTGTTTGTTCCAAGTGAGTCTTTTATCCAAATATAATCCGAGGTACACATAATTTTTTTAAGGCACTAGATTGTTATTGCTGGAAATACAGCTTTCCTTGAAGAAATATTGTCCATTCTGCAGATGTGCCTGAACCATTTCAACTCCTTGTCTTCCAGGATACCACGGATTGATGTCACCTCCAATTCCTTACGAATTATGTCATTTCTGACACAGTCCCTCTTAGTTTTGCCAACTATTCTTTGGAAGAACCTCATTTCTGCTGCTGTGCTTATCGAGGGTTGTCCAGTTTTGAGATCCATAAAGATACAGAAGCACTGGGAGGAACACCGCCTTATATATCGTGAATTTGGCCTTTCTGCTTACTTCCTGTTTGACTATGATTGTTTTGATTATCTGGTAATATATTCCATTGGCCTTCACCACCCGATTTAGTACCTCCTGGTTTAATTTACAATCTTCATTGATGATTGTTCCCTGATACGTGTATGCATTTGTTACTTATAGGGATTCGCCATTACTTAACATCATAGGCTCCGCATCATCTTTTCCAATGAAAATAACCTTGCTCTTAGATGGGTTAATATGCAGCCCTTGTAGCTTCAATTCTTCTTCCCACTCGACTAATGATGTCTGTAGAGCTTCTTGTGAGTCCGCTGATAGGATTATGTAATCGGCATACAACATAGCTTGAGCCAATATTGGTGTCAAATTCCAATATCCTACAAGTGCTTGGGGGTTCTTCTTTTACACACTTTTCAAATTTCATCCATGAGAAGAATAAAAACTAGAGGACTAAGACTATCCCCCTGCTTTACTCCTTTATAAAAGTGGGAAGGTTCTGATGTATGTCCATTGAGCCTTATATTATATCCTTTGGGTCTTGGTATATAGATTTTATAGCTCTCACCAGAAATGCTAGATCCGATTTGCCACAGTCCCATGCTTTTTCCACAATCATCCGTAGTGAGAATATGCGGTCTTGGGTCTGCCTGCCAGGTCTGAAAGCGGCTTGCTCCTCCTCTATATCTTGCTCTACTATATGCTTTAGTCACCATTCAAGAATTCTTGTGTATATCTTGTACACAACTGACGAGAGGCATATTGGCCCATAGTTCCAGCATTCGCTTTGGCTGCTTTTCTTGTATACAGGGATTATATTTTTCTCCCATTCTTGTGGTATCAGCTTGAGGTCCCAATTCTTTTGAAAACGGTTTGAAGGATCTTGATCATTTCGATGCCTCCATATTCAATTAATTCTGGAGATATTTCATCTGGTCCCGCTGCTTTTCCCATTTTGATTCTGGCTAATGCCGTTTACACCTCATCCTCACCTATTGTGTCATCCAAGTCCTCTGGGTAAACCTCTTCCATCCTCACTCTCCTTCTGCAGTCTCTGTGATTATGGTGTCGATGTTCTTCCATACTAAATTTTTCCTGGAAGAACTGTCTCCAAACTTCTAATACCGCTTTCTCTTCAGTCACCAGCTTCCCATTTGCATCTTTTATATTTCTGACCGGTTTTGACTTTTTGGCTTTCAGGGCTTTTGCAATATGCCAGAATCTCCTTATATTCTCCTTATAATTCTGTTCTAGCTCCTGGCCGAACTGCTTCCAGGTCCTCATCTATGCTGATCTGATTATTTTTTTAGCCTCATTTCTATACTTAACATTTTTTTCCCCAGTGGATAGGTAGTTTCATTCTACAGTATGTTTTCCAGGCATCCTTCTTGAGCTTTACTCTTCTTTTCACTTCATCGTTCCACCATTTTGTTTTCTTGGTAGACGACCTTATTTTCTTAATAACACATACTTCACTAGCTGTATGGATGATGCAATTCTTAATTTCTCCAAAGAGTATCCTATTCACTAGCTCCATTTATTAACTGAAGGCAACTCTCCAGCATTGTTCTATACACTTCTTGTTTGGTTTCCATTTTCAACATTTTAACACCGATTCTATTAATTGCTTTGATAGTCCTCTTCCTTGACTGATAGCTTTACTATCAGCAACTAGTAGCTTGTGGGCTGTAATAAGTTCTGCGTCCCATATGACTTTAATATCTGTGATGAACCTTCTGAGATCTCGTTCCATAATGAAATAGTCAATGACACTTCTTCTCATAACCTGTACTCCTCTATTCTCAAAAGCGATCTTATGTATTGTTTTATGATTAAGCCACCAGTTTCTTATAAGCAAATTATTTTCTATATTGAACTCTATAAGTCGTTGGCCATTACTATTTTGTACGTTTTCACCTCCCCAGGGCCCTATCACTCCATGCGCATTTTCTTTATAGTATCATTCTGTTTTTTGTTCTTGCATTGTCTACTGTCCTTTGCAAATCTTCATAAAGCTGGTCCTTGCTAAAGACTGCTGCATCCTCAACTGGAGCATACGCCTGTATCACTGTGACTTTGCCGACTGATAATTCTATGTCTATCGTGATTATCCTTGGTGAGACTGCTTCCCATGACTTGATTCTCTTGTATAATTCGTCTCCCATCACAAAAGCAACTCCTTCCTTTGCTCTTTCTCTCTCACTGACACCGAAGTATATAAGATTGTATCCATCTGGCAATGTTAGGTGTCCATTTCCTCTTTTCCTAACTTCACACAATCCCATTAAGTTGAGTCTAAATGACTTAATTTCTTCAATCAGCTCTTTTTCCTTTCCTGTGAGTGATCTTACATTCCAAGTAGCCAATCGCAGTTCCTTGTCCTTGCCTTGTCTATAACCATAAGACTGTTCGAATCCAAGGCTGCATTTATTCCTATGAATTTTATACTTCATACGGGTGATTAGCCCAGAGATGGAAGCCCCTTACCCAGGAACAATGAGTTGCCCGCTATACTGCCGGCATTGAGTTTTCTCAGGAAAGGTGACCCTGATGTGTGTACTGTAATTGTCCTTATTGTCAGTGTAAATGTATTATGTGCTGTTGCCTTGTGTGTAAGTGTGCTGTGTATTGAACTCAGGAAACCAGGGGGTCGTTAATCCTTAGTAGTAGAGCACGACTACTAGCCCTTGTGGGAGTGGGTAAAACACAGTAATAGTATTACCATCTTGGAAGTTGTTGTTTGGCAGAAAGACTAGTTGTTTGGAAAGACAAGGGAGAGGATCTCCCACTGAGCTTGAGTTGATTAGATGAAAGTGTCACCATTTTGGAAAATGTGTTTGGCAGAATATAGAAAAATTTGAGAAGACAAATGAATTTAGTGCAACAAAGGAAGAAACAGTATATGTAATGTTTATCTGAGTGTTTTGATCTAATTCTAATCCACTATCCTAAAATCCCACACGAATGATTATGGTCCTAATAATATTCCAGTAAAACTAATAAAATCCAGCCTTCCTGTCCTTATTCCTGTTCTTTATCATATCTAAAACTTTTCATTGCGAAATTCCATATTCCATCCTCCTGGAAAACTCCCCTAGTCCGACCTTTGAATAAAATTTCCAACCCTGCCACACTGCACGACTTCCACTCTATTTCTCTCCTATCCAACCTTTCAAAGCCGTTAGAACGCCTTGTCCAAAATCAACTCTCCAACTTCCTAGAAGAACGTTCCCTTATCAACCCTTTCCAATCTAGCTTTTGACCTGGCTACTCAACGCAATCCGCTCTCCTTAAAATAACCCATGACCTCCAAAACTCCATTGAATACCAAAACCTTACCATCCTCATCCTTCAAGATTTTTCCAAAGCGTCCGACAAAGTTGACCATAATATCCTCCTAACAATTGCACAATCTTCCTCTATTCAACATTGCCCTGCATTGGTTCAAATCCTTCCTTTCAAATCGGTCCCAGTATGTAGTCGTCCCAGGTCAACTTCCACCTAAGACTCTCCCCCTCTCCTGTGGTGTCCCTCAAGGTTCCTCTCTATCTCCTTCTCTGTTTGCTATTTACATTAATGACCTTCCCCTCATGATCTATCACTCCCAATACCATATTTATGCAGATGATTTCTAAATATAACTGTCCTTCCCGCCCTCCAACGTATTATCTGCCACAGAAAAACTTCAAGAAGACTTGGATAGAAATTGTGACTGGACGAGAGCTAACAAGTTGAAGTTGAATGCAGAAAAGATGAAGGCAATCTTAATAGGCTACAATCAACTCCTTAAAACTGTTCCTAATATTCCAACTCTGTTTCTGCATGATAAGATAATCCCATCAAATTTTACCCCACAATCAAAAACCTTGGAATAACCTTTGATCAAACGCTTTCCTGGAAAAACCATGTATCCAATATTTCCTGCTGTACCATTTCCACTCTAAAATGTCTAAATTATTCTTGTCACCTATTTCCATTTGAAACCCGTAGGCTCTTAGTCACTTCCTTAATTTTTCCCCACTTTGACTATTGCTGTTCGGTACATGGGGATGTCTCTAGGGATCTCGAGGCAAAACTAAAACGTTTGATAAATTGCTTTGTACGATTCATATTCGGGATACCAAGGGACGTCTCTGTTTCCCATTTTTATGCAGAGTTGAAGTGGCTTTATCCTTCCTACCATCGTAAATATTTCCTGGCATCCTTTCTCTTTCAAGTCATCCAATCCCACCGTCCTTCATACATCTCCGAGCTCCTTCAATTCAAATCCTCTGTTCGTTCCCGCAATACTCGTTCCCGGTCTTCTGATTTATACATAAGGGCCCACCGAACCGCTGCTTTCGACAGATCTTTCATTATCCGATCCTCATCCCTTTGGAACTCCATCCCTTCTCACATTCGTCAATCTAATACCCTTCCTACCTTTAAATCCCGCCTGTTCAATCATTTCTTATCCATCCAGTCCCCATGAAATTGTAAATAGATACTAATGTAAATATGTATATAAATTATTAGTTCGTTCTTCATTATTTTTACTTCATCCTTTTTTTTCTATTTTTTATTTTTTATTATTAACTGATTAAAATTAGAAAGTAACTTATAAATTTTCATTTTTTTACTATGACTGTTTAATTATTCTGTATTTTTATTTATGTACCTCTGAGGCTCCTCAGCGCATATTTATGTCTTTCTGTATTATTCTAAAGGGACTCGTCCCAGAATAAATAAAGTATTATTATTATTCTATATGTGTGCGAGTATATATGTAGACATTTTTTCACAGGAAAGGGATGAAATGGCAACTGATATAATTGAAATCAAAGCCTTTATTGTTATATATTGCAAGAACGCATTAAGCTGGGAAAAAAAATCTGGATGATTTGTGGGACTCAAGTGGCGCAATTGATTCCAAGTTTGGAATCAAAATATTTTGTCCCACTATGAGTGTACGAAGGTTTCGATTTTTACTTTGATCCCAAAGATTTGACGATCAAGAAAGATGTCAAAAACGTAAAGAAATAGACCGACTGGCACCTGTCCAGAACATATTTGAAGAGTTTGTCAGAAACTGCCAATCTTGTTATTCAGTTGTCCTCAAGTCCTCACACTAATTGTAAGTGGATAAGGTGATTTCACAGAGAGAAAATTCATCATATTATTCATTAATTTGATTTTCTAAAAAGTTACTTAATGATTTTTTGGGATAAATCGACGATATAACTAAATATTTAAATATGTTATAGGGTCTCAAGTTATTAAACTTCAGTAAATGTATTTAAGGTTATGAACATATGTTTTACTCATCCATGAAATATTTTTATATTCCACTTCTTTCCTAACAAGTATAATAATATAGCTTCTAAACAATTTCATTGTCTCAACTCAGTGAATTATATACATTTTTTCAAAATTAAAAGTTCACATTTAGTAAGGGAATTTCATTTATTTTCCAAGGAAACATTTGGGAATGGATTGATGAAAAGTATAGTAATGAGAACTAGAAGTTTGTGGGCTTGCTTGATAAAGTACGTTAAAAACACAAAACAAACCTCCTAAGGCCTATAACAGGAAATGAAACTATTACAAAAAAAAGTAATATTTCAAAAGAACGGCGATAGTGCCATAACGAGAATCATAAACATATTCTCTTGACTCTTCCACCTTAACAGCTAAACAGTTATTGTTGATAGGGATTTAAAAAATGGTTTGCATTGATTTTTTTTCTTTATAAACTTACCACTTAAGTTCAAATAGCCTATTGGAATTTCATAAAGAAAAAATATCAATTTGTGTGTGGTAATGAAACATTTTTAAATGATATACTTTTGAATAAGCAATTAATATTATCAGTAGCATTTAAAATACTAATGACTTTGTTTCTCTAGAGCGAGTACTATGCCTTTCATAAGGCTTAAGAACAAATCCCAAGTCCTTAGAAGAGAGGTTTTAACCAAATTTAATTTGGTTATCGGCGATTATAATGATAATATAAGACATACACAAAAAAAAAAAAAAAAAATATTGAAGAAAATGATTAATGGATATAGTAAACAAGGATGAGAAGAACATAATAAAAGAAAAAAATCAATGGGACCCATTCATTTGAAGAAATATTGGAGTATCTCAATTGACATTTTAATGAGAATCACCAAGATACATATGTGTGTATGCTACAGAGGGCTTAGATCTAACCAAAGTTTGATTTATCAACTCTGTAAATAATTTATGTTAAAAAAAATGTTGATAAACATTTAATAATTCGAAAAGTTGTATACCTCAAATAAAAGACATTATTTTGATGGTTATCTTGATACACAAACATATTTGTTCTGTTATTCACAGAAAATCTATTCAATACTGTTCTTAAAGCTTGTATAGCTCTTGATAGGCCTGGTTTACCGGGACCAGTCTTGAGTCTCGGGTGCAAAAGAAAATGAGTTTGCCACACCACAGGGCAAGAAAACCATCCAGGTTGAAATTTCTGAATAACTTCAGCATAGCTTCCTCTCATGTCAATATCTACACCATCTGTGGACAAATAATTTAATTTTTTAAAAATTAACATCAATTATTAATAATTAATAAAGTAGATATGAATACAATTGGGTCGCAACGCCAAATAGTAGTAGTGTTAATAGTAGTTACAATGCATATTCTAAATAATAAACATATAATTATTTTTAAACTCAAATGCATATCAATTGTAAATAACTCTTATTAGTTGCCTAGAATTGAAAAAAATCCTGTCCTACATATGTAGCCTTGTAATCTTAACCATCAGACCATGAATCTAATTTGGTAGATCTGATGGTACTCCTTAAATAGCGGGTAGGGAAAAACCTCCTTTGTTATCTAATATTACATCACATAACCTCCCTTCTTATATCGAGTTTATTTTTGTTCCTTGTGTGAGCTGTGAGTTGTTACATCATTTATTTTTGTTCCATTAGGGTGATTTATGGATAAATTGTTAAATTGATATTGATAAATTTGTCTATTTCATATATCTGTTGTAAATTCAAAGTGTTTTGTAATCGTTGTGGGAATTATTAGATTTCTTTTTGCCTATTTCAATTTCAAATCAAACTGTTTTGTTATTATTACATTTGTTTTTTTATTTTTTTATATTGGTGTTCTTTTATTATTTCATTTATTTTTGTCTATTTCATATATCTGTTGTAAAATTAAAGTGTTTTGTTATTGTTGTGAGAATTATTACATTTCTTTTTTACTATTTCAATTTCAAATCAAATTCTTTTGTTATTATTACATTTGTTTTCATCTATCTAATATATATGCTGTAAAATAAAAGTATTTTTTTATTATTAGATTTGTTTTTGTTTACGATTTCAATACTTTGAATAAAATACAATAAATATGAATACCAAGATAAGAATTATCAGAGCCTTATCAGAATTATCAGTGTTAAGGTTATAAACATTGGCAGATAGCAGTCGGTCCCGACCGGCTATTTAAGGAGTACGATCTGATTTTTTGCTGAGTTATTTATGATATTAGGTCAATTAATAATCCATGTTTGCAATCTCGTGGGCCGAACGCAATATTGTCAAAAAGAAGAAAGAAATCTGATAATTTTCTATCTTTCTTCAGTTTTTGGCAATTTGAATCAGCAGAATTTGTTTTACAACAATAACTATTTTATACTTTTTCAAATAAGACTAAATTTTCTACAATTTGATACCAGAACAATATCTGTAAAATCAACAGTTTCCAAAATACAGCTTTTCCAAATTGATCAGTTTTTAAACATTTAAATTTTAGCTATAATTTCTTGTTCTGGCCTTAAATTGTTAAATTGGAATTGCTCCTTATGGATAAAAAAAAAGAAGTAAATTTTATGAATTTTCCTAATAAAACAACTATATTTCTCATAAGCATAATGCTACCAACCTTCAGTACTCCTAACAAGAAGCTGGCTAGGTTTCCAAATATCATCAGTTGTTTCAGGTTCAAGTAATGGATCACACATTCGGGTTTCATGTAAACTACGTAAAAGCAAAGTTTGGTTAACAGCTTTGCAAACAGCTTCAATATTATTAAGAACTTGGGCATGTACATCTTTGTAATGTTGAACTTCTTCACAATGAATTTCTAAAAACCTGGCGAAAAATAAATCAATTAATTAACCCTACTGCATTTATGGTATAATAGGATGTGGAAATTGCTTCTCAATAGGGGCTTTATGCATAGGCAGACCAAGGACTTGCCTGGGGTGGAAATTTTAGGGGAGTGAAAATTTTAGTGAAATTAAACTTGAGATTCTAATAAATTCATAAGTATAAAAAGCAGGCAACCAAAAATATAAAAAAAGTCCTGAACAAATCAAAGCCTTACTTTTCTTTATTATATATTTTATATAAATGTAAATGAAAATAAAAATTATCTCCACTTAGTTCTTAACTGTAAAGCAATAATTGTTTTATCACCTAATAACCATACAGGTAAATGCTTATATTGTATATTGTTTATATTATATATTGTATATTGTTTATATTGTATATTTGGTCTCCAGTTTTGTGGTGCTTGGTCGTCGACTCCCTGATTGTTAAATTTTTTTCTCAGGGATAAGCTGATGATATCGCTGTACTGATAGGGAACAAATTTCCAGATACTATCTCTGGACTGATGGAAAACACTATGAGACTTCTGAAAACACTGAAAGAATGGTGCCAGGATAATAGCCTTGGCATAAATCCGCAGAAGATAAATCTATGTATCTTCACTAACAGAAGGAATATCAATATTAGACCAACATCACTAAATAGGTCAACATTAACTACCTGTAGTGAAGTAAAACATCTTGGGATTACTTTAGATAGTAATTTAAATTGGCTAAATCATATTGAAATGATTATTGGTCAGGCTACCCGCTGTCTATGGATGTGCAGAAGAGTTGTTGGCAAATCGTGGGAGCCGAAACCCAGCATGGCCTTATGGCTATACAGAACTGTGATTAGACCCTTAATCCTCTATGCGATTGTTGTGTGGTGGGATAGGGCAGCTGCAAGCCAGCCTAGAATGCTGCTTGGTTTCAAAGGCTTGTGTGCCTTATGACGATGGGAGCTATGAGCACTACTCCCACTACTGCAATGGAGGTTTTATTTTGAATCTGACACAACTGCATTTAGAGGTGGAAGCACATGCTCTCAGAACTGCCTATAGATTAGATTAACAGGGAACGAGATCGAAATTCCTGACGTTTCAGGGTCATGGGATCGTTTTTGATAGGATTGATAGCAATGAGGTGCTTGCGATGAACTCTGACCTTCAAGTTGATAATTATAAAGATATACTATAAAATTTGAAGATACTCAGGAATAACTGACATAGACCATGTAATGGAGCTAACTGTTATACCGACAGATCCTTGATGGAGCAAAGATCAGGGGCTGGCATCTGGAGAAAGTATAAACCTAATGAGGGAATATTCATATCTCTAGGTATTAAGTCCGTCTTTCAAGCTGAGATTCTAGCTATCGACATCTGTACTCAATCACTTGATAACAAATTGATACAATATATACAGATATTCAAGCGGAAATTTGGGCCCTGAATAGTAATAAGACTCGTTCAAAGTTGGTGGATGAATGTAAAGGCAATCTTAACCGTCTTTTAAGTACTAACAAGGTGAGGGTAGAATGAGTACCTGGGGACTCAGGCATTCCAGGAAATGAGAAAACCGAATTACCTTGCTAGAAAAGGCTCTGCAAAAGTGCCGGTTGCAGTAGAGCCCAATTGTGGGATAAGCCTTGGCTTTGCACTATTTAGGCAATTGTGGGTAATAAATTTATGCTACATTGGGAACAGACTAGGAAACAAACTCATTCTAAGCTGTTCCTAGTAGGGCCCTGTCATGAGAGAAGTAAATCAGGAGTACCACAGAAGTACCATTAGGCATCTGAGAGGATTGTACACTGGTCAGTCAATTAAATAAGCACCTTTTTAATTTGGGTATAAGTGAGACCTCCACCTGCAGGCTGTGTGGTCTGGAGAATGAAACGGCCTATCATGTAATTTGTAGATGTGATAATTTGGCTAGACTGCGATACTTTCACTTTGGATGTGATCGTATTATTGGCCCTAAGCACTGCGACCGATTGATCCTATTAGTATTAACAGATTGGTAAAGGTATCTGGCCTGTTTTAATTGAATCTAGGACGACGCACAATAGGTCTTCTTGAGGCTGCAGTGCACTCTTATGTCGGGGAAAAAAAAAAGGAATATATATGTCAACTCCGATTCATCTTTGGAGTCCCCAGGCGCTCCTATGTCTCCAGCTGGTATGACGAGTTGAAGTGGTTATATCCAGTTTTTCGGCAGCAATATTTCCTAGGTATATTCCTTTTTCTGTAGAATCTTTAAAACCAAAAAGCCATACCTTCTTGATTTGTTTAATCCTTGTTCCTCTGTTCATTCGTTTAACATGAGATCCCAGTCCAAAAACTTGTTAGTTCCCTCTCATAGAACCGTTTCCTTTAAAAAATCCTTTGTCATACGTGCTACATTTTTTTTGGAATTCCTTACCTACCTCTATACACAAATCTTCTTCCTTAACCTCATTTAAACAACAATTATTCTTCCACCTCTTAAGCAATCAATCTTTTGAACACACGTAAGAATAAAATTTTATATTTAAGAGCTGTCACCTTTATTTGACTGTTATATTACTGTTACTTATATATTATCAATATTGTTAATCAGAACAAATATGGGAACACACTCATATATATTTATGTACAAATTAATATGTTTACTTGTACTTAATTTATTTTAATTTTAAGGTTAGATTATTATGTGATGTTAACTAATTATTTTTTGTTCATCTTATAATGCCAGACAATTGTCATCTTTTTGTTCATTATAATTATTCTTAGCTGCCTAAATGTCCCAGAATACAATTTACTTTTCTTCTTCTCTTCTTTTATATTGTCGACTAGACTTGACTTGAGAATCGTGATACTGATGGGGACACAAAAATGAAACAATGAGGAGGGCCAGTACTAGGGGGGGGGACGAGGGACTCATACTCTAGGCAGAATTATTTTGAGAGTAATAAAGTTATTTTATTTTTAGTTTAAGTAAATATATAAAAAAATATATTTACCTCTTCTTGGTAGCTGAAGTCCAAAAGTCAATAAAATGAGTAGTGAGATGATGGTATTAAGTTGAAACATGTTAATTAGAATAATGCTATAGTACTTGGGAGGAAAGCATGGATATTTGGTACATTGTTATTATTTTCCCTACTATATTGTCATCTTTGAACGTAATAAATAGTTGTCACATATATAACTGTGCCAATATTCCAATTTCTTTGTTTGCCTAGTCATTTATTTATCTATTGAAATTTTTCTTTTTAATTTTATAAAGATGTCAACCATTAAGGCCATTATCATATTGCAATCTTAAAATAGGATAAAATTAGTTCATATTAAATATTGCTGCTGTACCTGTATAACAGTATTTGCAGATTGACATTTAATTTATTTATTTATACATACCATAAACATACTTAAGTACCATATTTAGCCATTGCACTGCTCCAGTATTTTCTATTTTCATTTAATTTGTTTTGATGTTGTAATATTTTGAATTCCATAAATTTATAACTATTGTTAAAATATTTTTCACTAGGAGTTGCCAATCATACATTTTTTTTTTAAATTTAAAATAAAAAGTTCTACAAATATTTATTAATATAAAAGTAATAAATAATAGGATTTTCAATCATTTTTTTTTTCATTAAAACAAAAGGTTCTATAACTAGTTATTAATATAAAAGTAATAAATAAGTGAATAAATGAAGATGCTACCTGCAATGAAAGTAAGAAGTAACTTTTTCTTCGTCTACTTTTAAAATCAACCAGAAATTAGGAATTTCATTGCGATAATCATTTAATTCAGCAATCCATTTATTAGAAATACTACAAGAATAATCTAAACAAAAATCACAAATACATATTAATACAATTTATGTTTAAAAAGCAAATAAAAAAAAAAATTAAATTAATCTTACTCTTTGGAAAGAAGCACCAATCCTCAAACCTGAAAAATAAGATATATTTATATATTCTTAAGATAAATATGAATGTATTTGTGTGATAAAAGTATATAGGCTATTAAGTAAGAAATAATTTCAAAACATATGTTACAATTTGAACAATATAATCAAAGCCTGGATTTTTATGTAGTAAAACTCCACAAAATATGTCATATAATATGCAATAAAAAACTTTCCAATACGTAGCAAAATACGCACCAATAAAGTGCTCAAAATGCATCAATACAGCTAAAATATTTAATTACATTAATGAACGTATCTACAAAAAGTTCAGAGAGAGAGAAATACTTTTTTGAAAGTAATGCTGCCCTACTACGTAGGGTTGCTTTTAACACAGCATACTGATCAATCCATATGGACATACCTCTTACATTATATTATTCCATTATTATATAAACATATTATGTATTTATCTCCCTTTTTCATAACACTAGCCATATAAAATATCACTAATATACCACATTAAACAATTACCATTATATAACAAATATATTTTATGAAAAAAAAAAAAAAAGTATTCTAATGCTAGAAATACAACACTAAATCGCACACACATATATCAACACCTTTCTATGAATATAGGTAAAAAGATAAGACAAAGCTAAAAATTAAAATTAAATAAATAGATAAATTACACAAGACATCCTGAATTTACGATCAATTGCTATACAAGTGATAGTGGATGCTCCCCAGGGAGTCCAGAATAATATTCTCAGCCAATACCGCAAGCTTCCCAACATCAACACCCAGTTCATCGAGGAAGCTCCTGGTTCTTTTTGGGATTGACAGAGGGACCCAACTTCCTTTGACTGTCCACCGATTCCTGAGACTCCATGCAAAGGTGCGTAATTGATGTTGAATTTTAAGGCGTTTGACCATTCTGATCCCGAAAGCACTTCCTTTTGGCATATGCATTTATTAGCTTTCGGGGTTTCTGTAAAATGCCAAACTCCAATGCCTTGCCACCTGCAGCTGGCCCATTCTTCAAAAGAATTTTCTCTTAGCGACTGTCGTGGAGCTCTCACATTTTGGTGGCCCTGATCCACTCCCAGTCTTTCTGCACATTCTCCGATTTCCGCAATATAATCAAATGTGGCCTGGAACAAAGCATCCAGTACATTGGATAGTCGCTGGGCAATGTACTAATGCTGCAAAGTAGCCTCCCATTGACAGCGGATCTGTCCCAATCCTCAATACCTCCTCGGTGCATACAACATTGCCGTTGATGTGTTAGCGGGGAACACCTTGATACTCCTGCGAATATTTGTATAAATTCCTTCCAATATCGCAGGACGTATCTTTGTGAGAGGTGCTGTCTGGAGAGGGTAGGTAAGTCCCGGGAACACATATTGGTTGACAACGTTGATCTTTTGCTCTAGTTTAATAAGGCAAGAGCTAACCAATTTATCCAAATTTTTGTTCAAATTGGTCACCATTTCCTCATTCAGTATTCAGAGCTCTCCCGAAAATATACATCCTAAATATTTTAAAGTCTCACCAATCTTTGCTGAATCGATGGTTTCTCTGTTCTCTAGGGAGAGCTTTGTTTGTTGCAGCTCTCCTTTATTGATTATTAAGCCCACGCTTTTTTGTGGATTTACAGCCAGACCAATCTCGGCGAGGATCCTCTGCACACAATTGATAATCCTTTCTGCAGCACCCTTGCCACGTGCCATAACAGCCTGGTACTCTTGGTCGCTGGTTAGTTGGTATCCATAAAGCTTCGAAAATTCCTATTCACACAGGTCGCAGTATAGATGGTCTATAGCCAGCTTGAACAGCAAAGGTGACAAGGGTCCACCTTGGGGTACTCCTCGCCGAACTTTGATTGAGTTTGTCGAGTGGACTCCGACTCCAATCTTGATTTTGTTAGAGCCAAGGAAAGCCGCAATCACGTTTTTCAGGTCTGGTGACACTTCTCTAGCCTTAAGGGAGCTGATTATATGATCGTGACCAATGATGTCAAAAGCGGCAATGAGATCAAGAAATACCACAGCTCAATCATTCTTTCTATTCTTGGCATCTTTTATGATCCCTTCGATGATTCTTGAGCTCACAAGTGCTCCCAATAGGCCCCTGATGAAGCCTCTCAGATTTTTGCTGAAGGTAATACGTTTCCTCAGTTCAGAACCTTTTCAATTATTCGGCGCACAATCGAATAAATGGAAATTGGTCTCCATGCAGATATGCTATCGGCATTTCCTTTTCCCTTATAGACCAGGATTGAGCGCCATAGACATAGAGGCTCTGGTACATAGGCCACCTTCAGCATAATCTACGCAATAGTCTTGATGATATGAGATACCTTGAAGTACTTCATCTAGCGGATCAAAAAACAATTAGGCCCCGGCGATGTGTCCAATGGGGTTGATTTTATAGATCTTTTTATCTTTTGGACATAAATCGATGTTAAATTTGGGGTTGGAGCCCAATTTTCATAATCAGAGGCGTTTGCAGATTTTTGTTGTCAAAGAGGCCTTCCATCTTGGCTACCTTAAGAGGGCATTGCTTAGGAACATTAGCATTCATAATATTTTGAACAACTTTTTTTCTTTGATTTTAATAATTATATTGAGCTACATCATATAGGTATTCCTCTTGCCGACAACTCCTATCTGCCTTATTGACCCTTTGTGGATCCAACACTTTCCCCGCACCCTTGCCAGCCATGTCGGTTTTATTATTTTTTCTTAACTTATAAAATTTAATGGAAAATAAAAATATACAGGGTGTTTCGTAATTGCACGGCACTATTTTAGGTATGTGTTCACTAACACAAAATAAACAAAAAAGTTCATATTAGCATATATCTGAAACTCATTTATTAAACAGATATCAAAGATTAAAGATTTATTATTTATTATTACTATTTATTTATTATTATTACAACATTTAGAGTAATTGTTCAAAGAATCCGTTTTGTTGAAAAACATTCAGCACGACGAATCCATGCTTCTCTGGCTCTTCGTATAGCATGAGAATGGTGCTTGATAGTTACTGCGGTTTCCACGATCCGATTTCTTAGCTCTTCTTGTGTGCCAACTGCCACAGAATAAACCATAGACTTCATCCAGCCCAACACAAAATAATCTAATGGCGTAAAATCTGGAGATCCTGGTGGCCATTTAAAAAGTCCATTTCGACCAACCCATCGGTCTCCGTAAGTTGCATTTAAATAATCAGTGACACTATTAGAAAAGTGAGTTGGAGCACCGTCATGCATAAACCACAGCCCTTGCCTAATGTCTAGCGGAATATCTTCTAGGAGTTCATGAAATTATTTTGCAAAAAATGCAAGTAAGATATACCTGAAAGCCTAGGTGGCAAAAAGAAGGAGCCAATGATCTTGTTGCTTAGAAGACCACACCAGACTTTTAAAGAAAAGGTATGTTGGTAATGTCCAACAGCAGTCGTATGAGGGTTTTCTTCATTCCAAGTATGGGTATTTCGAAAATTAAGAATCCTGTTTCTTGAAAAACAAGATTCATCAGTAACCAAAATACAGTTCAGGAAGTTAGGATCTAGTGTGCATTGTCAAATTAACCACTGGGAGAAATTTCTGCACTTGTTATAATCTTGATATTTGAAATGGATACAATTGTTGTTCGTATAAAGTTCGCCATACACTGGTAGAGGAAACATCGAAACTACATGACAATCTTCTGGTACTAGTAGCAGGAGATAACTGAACAGCATCGAGTATTTCTTCTTCAATGCTTGCAGTTCATCGAACTCTTTGTCGAACGGCGTTTACTCGTATAGGTTTTAGCATGTTATTATTCCTAAGGTGTTTTTCAATGGCCTCAAATGTTTTACGATTTGTTATTCTTCGGTTAGGAGATTTTTCATGATATCCTCGAACAGCAGCAGTACTGTTTCTATGCACCTCGCCATAAGTTAAAAGCGTGTCTGTTTATTCTCCAAAAGTGAATAAATTTATAGTGTCTCCCATGATAATCATAAATTGAACTGTGTCACAGTATTCACTCACACTAAAACACACAGAACTAGACAAACAGATGAGCAACTACTGTCATTGCTTATCGTTCATTTGTTTATCAGGTGATTAAAACCTGTTATTTAGTATTAAACACGTTAAACTTTGTACAGTCAGTCTTAATGTAGTAAATAAATAATAAATCTTTAACCTTTGATATTTGTTTAATAAATGAGTTTGAGATACATGTTAATATGAACTTTTTTGTTTATTTTGTGTTAGTGAACACATACCTAAAATAGTGCTGTGCAATTATGAAACACCCCGTATATTTATTAATGGTTCAAAAAATGATATGAAATACTTTCAAGGTTGGGGAGTAGGAAAGCCTCTGGTCCGGAAGGAGCATGTGTAGAGCTGTGGAAGTATGGTGAACTTAAGATGGCTAAAATGTTCACAGACCTTATTAATAAAATCCTAAAAGGTGCATTTAAACACACCTCAAGAAAAGCTAGGACATTTGACACCAACAGTTAAAAAAGAGGTTATAAAAAAATAGAAGAAAATTATAGAAACATTGAATGGAAAGTCAATTCATTAAACTGCTCAGAAGAATAGTAAAAGCACTATTGGGAAAAACAGTATATTCAAGCTACGGAGCAATGTGGATTTACACCAGATAGGTCCTGTATCGATCATATTTTTACCCTGATACAGCTAGTAGAAAAACAGACACAGCAGAAAAACTAGACTTAATCTTCATAGGCTTGGAAAAGGCATATGATAGTGTATCATGCAAATTTCTATGAGAATCCTTAAGGAAAGTAGGCATTGACCAAGGAATTCTAGACTAATTAAAGAAATTTAAATGAATAATAGGTGCCAGATAAAAATTGGCCCATCATTCTTGAATGGATTCCAAAACGAAAAAGGACTGCTATAAAAAGTATGTCTCACACTTTATTTAAAATATACATTCATGAATGTTTAAAAGGTTGAATGAGGAAATATGGGAAAATGGGCATCGAGTTAAAAGAAAAAACCTGTAATTTATTATTTGTTGATGACCAGTCTGCACAATTTAGTATTCATTTCGGGTTCTGTCGCTTTCAACAGCTCTGCCATTATGTCATCTGTTCCTGTGACTTTACAATGTCTCAGTCCAGCAATGATGTCTAGAATATCCTCTGTCTCCGGGGGCATTTCCTCATCCGTCCCATCACCCTGATCACATTCATCGCTATTGTATTCGTCGCATTCATTATGTGAAGGATTCAACAGCTCACTTAAGTATCTCTCCCATTTTTTCATTAATTCATCAGCCAGTGTAAGGAATCCACCATTATCATACCTTAACAATACAAAGATTTCCCTTTCTCTATATTCATTTAGGATGATTCTATATTCCAACTTTTTTGATCCATGGCCATCCTCTTCTTTTTCTTACAAATCCTCTTTGGATATACACGATCATTCCTATATTCTTTTCTTGTTTACTGAGTATCAAGGCTAAGAAACTTGGTTCTATTGTTGTTACACTTTTTCAGGGCCTCCTCCCATTCCCAATCATTCCAAGTTCTGACCTAATTACTAATGCAGTGTTCATCAGTTTTTTCTATTATTTGCGGCAGTATTTTCCAATGGTCCTCGACTGAATACCCTCCATCAATGGCCAGTACCTCCGATATCTTTTCTGCTATATTCTCTTTGAACTTATTTCCTTTGTCAGATGTATTGAGCTTTTCTGTACACCATTTATTTTTCTTACTGCATGCTTTACTTGGAAGTTGATAAAATCCGAATTTTATTTTTACTTCTTCTTCTTCTCCTTTCACTATCTCTTTTGTGCCGCTAAGCGTGGAGGAGCTGCCTCAGACCATCTTGTCCAATGATCCCTGTCCTGTGCAAGCCTTCTCATCTCAGGCATGGTGTTTCTTCTCGCTGTGCCAATTCTCTCAATCAAGTCTCCATGCACAAGCCTTGGCTAGCCTTGAAGTCGCCTTCCTCCCGATCTTGCTTCTAGAAGCCACCTGGCCTTACAGTCATCTCCCATTCTATTAACATGCGCGTACCATTTCAACTATCTTTCTTCAATCTCCTCTTACAAAATTTCCAAATGGCATCCATGAAAATTAGGAACAGTAGGGGGCTCAGGCTATAGCCCTGTTTAACTCCCCTAAAGAAATGGAATTGGGTGCAATCCCATCTGGCCCAGCTGCTTTTCCCATCTTTACTTTAGCAATGGCTGCTTCAAGTTCCTCCTCTTCTATGATGTCATCCATGTCGGGGACTTGTGGTTCAGTTATTCTACCTCTTCTACGACAATCTCGAAAATTTCGCCACCTTTCTTCCATTCTAAATTTTTCTAGAAAGTATTTCCTCCAAACCTCCAGTATGTCCTGGTCTTCTGTCACCAGTATGCCATGCTCATCTTTTACGCTTCTCACAGGCTTTGCTTTATTTTTACTACTACCAGGAAATGATCTGGGTCTACGTTCGGACCCTTATAGGACCTCACATCATTAACTCAGTTGAAATGTTTCAACGATACCAAAACGTGGACTATTTGGCTAAATGCTCCATTTGGTGCTTTCCAAGAATATTCATGCTTGTTCATCTGAGGAAAGACTGTGCTCATTTCAACAAATGCATTACCTTTAGCAAAATCAATCATTCGCTCGCCATTATCATTTGTGGTTTGATGAAGACTTTCATAACCAATATTGGGCAGAATACCTTTTCTTTAACTACCAGGACAATAAAGTCATCCATTTTATAAATATATTTTATATAATCATCAGCTTAAAAATCATAAGGAAATAAAATATGCACTTTCATAAAAATCCAGTCCTTGATTATAACTTACAATATCAATGATATTAAATCATTTTTATCATAAAAAATGATATTTTTTAATCATTTTTATGGTATAAATACAAATAAATAAACTATTTAAATTACATATTTTTGATTTAAAAGAATAATTGAATTTACATATTTGAATACTGAAATTTAAAAAAAATATATTCTTCAATTACAATTTAAAATTAAATGGTACCTGGTATCTGAAATACTAGTTCCAGTATTCATTACTTCATTGATTTTTATTTCTTCACCTAGAATAAAAAGTAAAATTGAGAATATTAATGTTTGAAACTAAACCTAATAAATGTGGAAAATAATAAAAAGTTCACTGAGATAATTATTAAATTCAGCTATCTATTTATTAAAAACACAAAAAAAGAATCATCTAAACAAAAATCACCAATTAAAAGATATAAAATTTATATCTAATAATCAAATACAACAAAGTTACACCAACTATAAATATATAGAAATATGAATAAAAAAACCTTGTGCGGGCTCATTACCACGTATGGAGAGCGTTCCACGGGTGGCGGATGTGGGGATGGTTGGTGGAAATTCCTTGGAAGTTCCTCCCGGCTAAGTCCAATGGACTCACTGACCAACAATGAGAGGGGCCCTCCAGACTTGCTGGAGGTAGAGGCCCACCAGACTTGCTGGAGGGTATGACGTAGGATTGAACGCCCTACTCACATATCTTTAAACTTTAAACTAGTCCCCCGTTCGGGTCTCCGGGTGGGGAATGCTTTAGGGGATTCATGGGGCAAGTTGAAATATAGGGATTTAAATATTGGTACGTGGAACGTAAAGAGTTTAAACACAGCAGGGGGGCTAAAATCGGTCGGGAATGAGGTAAATGGTTACAATTTGAATGTTGTGGCTCTGCAATAGGTTCACTGGCCAGGGGAGGGCTCGATGAGGAAAGGAAAGTACACTATTTGGTACGGAGGAAGCGGGAATCATTGTTTAGGTACCGGGTTTCTAATTAGGAATAGATTACTATCCGCTTTGAGGGACGTACAGTTCTTTAGTGATAGAATTTCGGTAGCTATATTTCAGGGACGTTGGTTTGGAATCGCATTAATAAACATACATTGTCCGACTGAAGACAGTGACGATGAAGTCAAAAGTGAATTTTATGATAAACTCAAATGGGTTTATGATAAACTACCGCGAAACTACATGAAAATAATTATAAGTGATGCGAACGCAAAGGTAGGAAGGGAAGAAGTTTATATTCCGACGATTGGTGAAGAAAGTTTGCACGAATATAGTAATGATAATGGGATCGGTCTGATAAACTTTGCCATCTCGAAAAACCTGATAATTAAAAGTACGACATTTAAACATAAGGATATTCATAAATATACTTGGAGATCACCGGATTCGCAAACACAAAGTCAAATCGATCATGTCTTGATACAACATAGCTGGCAAAGCAGTACAATTAATGTACGGTCTTATCGCGGAGCAGAATGTGGGTCGGATCATGAATTAGTAGTAATTGCGAAACTTCGACAAAAACTTAATATAAAAAAGAGAAAATAAAACCGTTTCGATTTTGAGAATTTTAATTTGGAAAAATTAAAAAATCCATCAATTAGAACCCAATTCGAGCTAGATGTTAAGAATAGGTTTGAAGCTTTAGAGCTTCCTGACGAGGATATTGACAAGTTATGGGTAGAGATCAGGTATAATATTAAAGCGGTCAGTAACTCGTGTCTAGGAAAAAAAGAAAATAAGAATAACAAACCGTGGTTTGATGAAGATTGCTTAAACATATGCGAAAAAAGAAAAGCCGCTAAATTAAAAGCTCTAAATAATCCTAGCAAAGACAATCTGGAATACTTCCGAACCTCAAAGAACGAAACGACAAAACTGCTCAAAAATAAAAAAAAGGGAGTATCTTAAAAATAAAATAATTGAAATAGAAACTAACATAGATAATAACGTAAGAGACATGTACAAAGTTATAAACAGATCACGTAAATGTGTAGGATCAGTAACGTCTGGAATTAGGGATGATAATAACAACATTCTGACCGATCCGGTTGACATATTGAATAAGTTTAAGGGCCACTTTGACAATATTTTAAATACGGGAAATTATGATCTGTGTCCTCCTTCTGAGTACCAGAGTGCTGAACCGTTAATAGAAGGACCAAGTAAAGAGGAAGTTGAAGTAGCTATCGGAAAATTAAAATCTTAAAAAGCAGTGGGAACCGATAATATTCCTACTGAACTAATTAAGGCATGAAAAATACATACATCTAATGAAAAATACATCGGTTGGTTAAAAAGATCTGGGTGAATGAGAAATTACCTGAAGAATGGAAAGAATCTATTCTTATTCCGATTCACAAAAAGTGGCCGAGGAGGGATTGTAATAACTATCGAGGAATTTCACTCCTTCCGGTATGTTATAAAATATTTACTTTAATCTTAACCAGTGGAATCACAGAATATGCCGAGGAAATTATCGGAGACTACCAATGCGGATTTAGACGGAATCGTTCAACTATTGGTCAAATATTTTCTTTACGGCAAATATTAGAGAAAAAATTGGAGTACAACGGTATTGTTCACCAGCTGTATATAGATTTTAAAAAGGCTTACGATTCTATTGACCGCCAGAAACTGTATAATATTCTAATTGAGCAGGGGATTCCAAAAAAACTAGTAAATCTAGTCAGAATGTGCTTGACGGAGACACTCAATAAAGTTAGAATCGGTAATAATCTGTCCAAAAAATTTGAGGTTCGTTTGGGTTTAAAACAGGGGGATTCCCTTTTGCCTGTCCTTTTCAATTTGGCATTAGAACATGCCATTAGGGAGGTAATGCGTACCAAGAAAGGGTTGGATCTGGGTGGGACAACATCCGTGCTATGCTGATGATCTGGTACTGTTAAGCGAAGACGTTGAAACTATAAAACTAATTTTCAATTATATTTCTATAATACAATAAAATCTACAAAAAAAAAAACTTAATTTGGGGCTAGTCAAGATTAAAAAATAAAAGAATGAGTACCTTTACATACAATGAAGTAAAACGTTTTTGACATAGCAGATATTATGATTAAACCAAATATAAATTAGTTATAATAGAGTTTTATTGCATATATATTCGTAATTTAATTAATAATGAACCACAAAAAGTTATACACCTGTATGTACTGAGCATTACAAATAATTAATACAATTGTAACTATAATTTAAATATAAAATTAAAGGTGTATGATAACTAAAATGAAAAACATAAACTGCAAAGTTTTAAGTTTTTAAAAGTCTGGGGAAAAAATGCATCAATTTTTGTACCATATTTTGCAGTTAAATTCAATTTGTTGTCAAAAAATTTATTAAAAGTTGAGATTTATATAACAGAAATTTGACATTAACATCTCCAATAAGAATCATCAATAATTTATGATGGGCAATTGCTTATTGATAAATATTATAATGTTTTATATAGTTTTATTTGAAAAAAAGAACAATGATAATCAAAAGTTGATAATTTATATTGGCATGCCGAACAACAGCAATGTCACCTACAAATGAAATTCGGTCGAAAACTAGCATTCATATAACTATAAAATTTAAGGTTATAAAACTGGCTTCAAATGCTTGCCACTTGTCCCAACACATAAAAATGCTTGACAAAGAAATAAACGAATAAAAGTGATATTTACATGCTTAGGTTCCTCAGAAATAAGCATGATGTGCCTGAAACTTGTGCTCTTTATTTCATTTGGTTTCAAATATTTTTATTTATAAAAAGAAACAATTACGGAATTTCAGAACAACAATTTAGATTAGAACAATTTTAAAATTTCAAAACTACTATAGTATGGTGGTTCAAAAACTTAAAATCTATTTATGAACAAATATAGAAGTGCATACAGAATTATAATGCTGGGGATGAATAATTTAGCAAATGCCTGAAGGCTGGGATCTAGGAATAAAATACCCATTTTACAAAAGGGGAGACCAAAAAAAATGTGTAAATATAACATATCAAGGAACCGTTCTTAATTAAAATTACAAAGTACCTTCAAACATTTTATTTAAGAAATTTGTATCTTTTGCTGAAAGAGAGCTTGATCCATATCTAACAGATTTCATAAGATCAAATCTTTTGACCAGAACTATTTTAGAGAAGACTGCAGAATTCAAAATGGCCACCCACCATTTACATGTAGACTTCAGGTCACCCTACAATGGTATGAAACTTATACCAGGTCAACTTGTAATTTAACTTCAGAAATGGCAGTTCGAAAATCAAGAATACTAATGGGAAGCACCATTTTCAATAGACTGGTCCAGATCCGAGGAATCGCTAATAATTTTAATATAGTAGCCAGATCAGAGGGAACACTATTTGTTGCTTTTGAAAGGTTTGATGGTGAATTTGGTAGTGAATAAAAAAAAAAAAATACATGTATGCTGAGAGATATATGTTGGCCACTTCAACAATGTGGAGAAACTGGTTTGAATACAAAACAAATTTAAATTCCTCATGAAATTGACAGAAGGATCATAGCAGCCAATATGTCTTTTTGGAACGTCAAGCCAGTTAAAATGCTAGTAGTTCCTATCCACATGGCTTGTATGAGTAATAATGAGATTTTGAAAAAGTTAATGACAGAGAAATTCCATCAAACTAGGAAGGTTGGAACACTCAAATTAAACTGGCAGGACTGAGCGGTCACTGATGTGAGAACGCTCCTAGATATTAGAAATTGGACACCTATAGCTTAAGGCAGGCTCATTGTCAAGCCATTGATGTTTGCATGTAGAAATATAAGCATGGCAATTCTTCACAATCTACCCCCAACTTCATATATTTTATACTAAATGATAATTAAAAACCAATCATTACATAAAGATGTTTGTTATCAAATCTGTTAATTAAAAAATAAACAAAAAATTAACTCATTATACTTCAAAACTGTATAAACATAGCTAAGCTATTTTAAATAAAGATTATCAAATGAAAAATATGTATATATATATATATATATATATATATATATATATATATATATATATATACATATTGGGAGAAGGGGAGAGGATTAAACAAGCTTACCTGAAGAAATAGCACTCATTTCAGGAAGAGATGAAAAAGAATAATATTTTGTTGGCATAGAAGTACTTGGATCTTTTATAACATAATAGAAATCTCCTTCTTTTTTCAGTTTATACCCTGGAAGTTTAAGCTGGGAAAATTCCTGTAATAAATAATTAAATAAAAAACTATTTTAATCATCATAAATAAAACATGGGCTCTATATTATCCATTTTAAAATTAAAATATATATATTTTTATAAAGTGGAATATATATAAAATTAATACCTATATATATATATATATATATATATTTATATATATATATATATATATATATATATATATATATATATATATATATAAAGTTAATACCTATATATAAAATTATGAAAGAAGGTTTTTTTTTGTAGTTAATGACGGACTTATTAATCCATCTATAATAATCAGATTAATAATCTGTAATAATCAATAGTTCACTAAAAATTTCTTGGCAGAACTATAGGCCTGTTGCAATAGCCTGTAAGTACATTTAACTTAAAACTCTTGTTTTTGAACTCAAAAATAAAAGTCTCACCACACAAACTTACTCATGACCACTGGACTTCATGAATCCTCTTCACCACAAATAAGTCAAAATACAATAAAGTTAACAGTTTAATAAATATTGTATTAATACTATTTTTAAACTATTAGAGATAAAAAAATTAATTATTTACCTCTATGAACTTTTCTAGACTAGGTTTGATACCAAAAACAAAATTTAGATGCACAGAGTTTAAAATACAACTATAGCGACCAACCGAATTCGCAACATGGTTAGCAACAAATATTAGAGTTGATTCAACAACTTGTAAACAGTCGAGTAGAAAAACAGCAATTTCATCATTCAAAAACCATTCAATCTGTAAAAAAAATAAAAATATATTCAATTATAACAACTTTAAAACTGTAAGGATATAATAAAATAATTTGGAAAATGTCACATGCCTCTGTAACACAAACACTTATAGCCTTGTGCTGTTGAAAAGGTAGATGTTGTAATCTATCAATTGTTTTCAAACCTTCGCAAGCGTAACTGAAAAAAAAAATACATATGTATATATATTAGGCAAATATTTTAATGGTCAGCTCTAAATAAACTTCATAAACAATGATAGTGAAAATATTTAAAGAACTTATTGTCCTTTTCGATAAAGTAGTATGAAGGATTTCTTTCTTCAACAATTTATTGAGCATGATTTTTCCAGGTGTTATAAATCATGATTTTTATTATTAAGAAGTAGTTATTTTTAATCATTATTGAGTACATTAGAATAAAATTAACATTATGCCAACAATTTATTATTATTTATATTTTTGCAATTACTTTTTCAATCCAATTAATTTATTTTTATTTATTTAATTGATATGAGCATAACATAACTTAGTGATGAAAGTTAGAGAGCTTTGAATAATGATTTTCATGCCAAAAAGTTAAAAGATAAATAAACAATAATGAGAGAAAGAGACAAAAATAGATTGAAGACTTGTTATCCTACTTATAATAAAATAATAATTGATCAGTCTCTGTAAGAAGTTCTTTATTTGTCCTTTTCCTCCATATATTAATACACTGATCCCAGATAGCTCTACTGAGCTCTACATTTTTGTAGACTATTGGTTATTGCCCAGGTCTCAACTATAGATATAGTTTGAATATTATGACATTCACTGTAATTGCTCCATCATTATTGCATTATTACTTACAATAATTGCCACTTCCATAACAATCACTATGGATACACTATATCCCTGAGCTGAAGGACACCAGGAAAAAGATCTGTCCAAACCTCACCGACTTAGATATAAAGCTTTACATTGTTATGGGATATCTCCAAAAGACCACAGAGTTCACAGTATTAATTCTGGGCCAAACCATATGAGGGAAAACCAAAGAAGAAGATAAAACTGATACTGAATCATTTGTTCACTTATCCCTAACTTTTCTCTACTTTTGTACTAAATGAACAACAAGAAACCATTTTTTTGAATAAAGGTGTATTAATGAAAAATATTTTGCACATCCGTGAGTGAAAGTAATGGTTGGAATTTGATAAACTACTTGATCATTTTTTTTAGCAATTCTTTTATCGAATTAAAGAGCAAATAGAATGACTCATTTTTGAGAGAGAAAACATTGAGATTTGCTAAGACCAGCAGAGCAAATCAGCATAAAAGTAAGTGAAGACAAAATAAAATACAGGCTAGTAAGCCAAATATTTCATCTCAATTAAAGGATCTAAGTAGAAGGGAAATTGGTCTCAAGAGTAGACAAATTCAAATACCTTGTATCCACAATAACCTCAATGAATGACCAATAATGAAAACCCTAAAACCGTATAACATGTTTTGTTTTTTTAAATTCAAATTCTAATGTCCATTTTCTTCTTTTCAAATAATTTGACTATTCTCGTTTGACAGAGTACAACATTTAAACATAGAGATAAAACATAGATCCATGTTAAAAGGAGTAAGTAGCAGTTTACAAATGAAAATTGGGAATTCTGTTTAAAAAAAAATTTAAAAGTAAATTTTCATAATTTTGAAGCTTGTTATAGTGGCCATAAAATGAACAAAAATAATAGTCAGGTTTAGTCTCAAACTTAGAAATATCACAGAAGTGTTAAAAAACAACAACATAAGGTCAGTCAAAGGCTTGGAATAATTTAAAAAATATATAGTCAGTGGTATTTGGCTTTGATCGTAGATATTCGAGGACATTTAAACTAGAAATGTCGTATTAAAGTTGATCAATTAAAAAAAAAAAACAGAAATATATACACAGGGCCGTCGTGTGGGTTTTATGCGCCCAGGACGAGATTTTACAGGTCCTTCCCCCCAACTCTATCTATGTTTCAATAAAAAAAAGAGGAATAATAATAACAGCAAAGGCTTAGGGGAGAGCCCTTTAAGAAAAGGCTTAAATCTCCTGTGCTGCGGCGCACCGGTCACCCTGCCCACGCAACGTTCCTGTATTTACATATTCATAACAATATATTTTAGCTGATTCAAGCATTTTCCTTTCTTTGGCCTTAATAAACAATGTTTTTTTCTTTGATAATTATAAAAGACTTTGCTTTAATAATTATAACTTTGAATAACATTTCTAATTATCCATTTGAGCAAAATGTTTTGTTGGAGATTTATTCTACTTCTAGGCCTTCCTAATGGCTAACAATTTCTATTTAGTGTCAGAAAAGAAATGAGGTAGTTCTAAACACTGTTAATTTGAGATCAAATCTTTCTCCAAATACTTTTTTATGAGACTACTGAAACTAAGATACAACTTATAATTAAATTATTTTTCGCATACAAATATTACTGAATACTTAACAGTTGACCATTGTATTATTAAGGAAGGAGATTGTCTGGGGTGGCGGTCATAAATAGAGTAAATAGTGGCAAAACTATTTTATTTTAATAGTAAAAGCCAACGTTTCGACCCAACTTTGCAGTTCTTATACAGGGCTAGAACGGACAAGATACAAAAAGATATAGAGAATTTTGGAAGTTACATAATATTTAGAAAAAAGTTATAAACAATGTGAATAAACTTATTAAAATTATAAACAGAAAGTACATTAAAATATAAACAGAGTAAGCTAAGTAACAAGATCCTAAACTGAAGTAAATAGTTGGTAACAATTGTTGTAGTATAATATATAATATAATATATGCAATTGTGAATATACTCCTACAGATTTACAGGAGAGATTGGAAGAAAAGGTTATGATATGAAATAATGAACATAAAGAGATGTTGAGAAAGAAAAACCAAAAAATAAATAAGTAAATAAAATTAAAGAATTAACAATAAAAATAGAGACTTACAGATGTGTTCAGCAAAGAGTTTCACTTAGAACTGAAAATCGGAGTAAGTACCTTTAGGGAAATTTGCTGACCTGGTTGGGAAATGGTAAGGTATTAAATAGTAAAAGTAAAACAAAACCTGGAATATTACAGGATCTAAAATTTGAAGATATGGATGGATACAAGGTAAAATACTATCATACATTAATGTATGGTTATCCGTTTTTACTTTGTATTCATTGTACTTTTTAACCATTATGTCTCAATATTATCTAATATTTAAATGTAATTTTGATATGTACAACTAAGTAAAATTATAATTATACATATTTGTTTCTTCTCTATACTTCTAAATTAGTTCTGCAATGTATGGTCTCTTATTTTTATATTTACATTTCACTTCTATGTACGTTTTACTATTTTATTTTTATTTTTTTGTTTTTGTTTTCACTTACATTGTACTTCTATCTATAATTTCTTAATTCTATTTTATATTTATATGTATATATTTATAATTTATTAGTCCATAGATATAGTATTTTCCCTTGTATCTATCCATGTCTTCAAATTTTAGATCCTGTAAAATTCCAGGTTTTGTTTTACTTTTACTATTTAATACCTTACCATTTCCCAACCAGGTCAGCAAATTTCCCTAAAGGTACTTACTCCGATTTTCCAGTTCTAAGTGAAACTCCTTGCTGAACACATCTGTAAGTCTCTATTTTTATTGTTAATTCTTTAATTTTATTTACTTATTTATTTTTTGGTTTTTCTTTCTCAACATCTCTTTATGTTCATTATTTCATATCATAACCTTTTCTTCCAATCTCTCCTGTAAATCTGTAGGAGTATATTCACAATTGCATATATTATATTATATATTATACTACAACAATTGTTACCAACTATTTACTTCAGTTTAGGACAGAGTTGGGCATTTACTCGAGTAAATGTCGAGCAGTGACGTCACGAGTGATCACTCTTGGAAGCTTAGCCATGAGTAATTTTGAAAATTACTCATGAAATATTTTTCCTTCATGAGTAAATCACTCGTGAAAAATGTTATCTCCATGAGTAAATCACTCATGAAAAATTTTAACGCCATGAGTAATTTTGAAAAAAAAAAAGTTATTATTTTATTTAACCTAATTTTTTTTTTCACCTTTCCAATTTATTCGATATCAGGGTCGACTCATATGTTTTGGGGGGCGCTTTTTGTGGAAATGTTATCCAACTAGAGATTGGGCCCCCCGGGCTTCGACTTTTTTTAACTTTCAGGATTAAATCGATATCAGGGTCGACTCATATGTTTTGGGGGGCGCTTTTTGTGGAAATGTTATCCAACTAGAGATTGGGCCCCCGGGCCTCGACTTTTTTTAACTTTCAGGATTAAATCGATATCAGGGTCGACTCTTATGTTTTGGGGTGCGCTTTTTATGAAAATGATATCGAATTTGGGATTGAGCCCCCGGGCCTCGACTTTTTTTAACTTTTCGGATTAAATCGATATCAGGGTCGACTTATATGTTTTTGGGGGCTATTTTTATGAAAATGCTGTCTGATTTGAGATTGCGCCCCCCGGGCCTCTAGTTTTTGTAACTTTTCGGATTAAATTGATATCAGGGTCGACTCTTATGTTTTGGGGGGCGCTTTTTATGAAAATGATATCCAATTAGAGATTGGGTCCCCCGGGCCTTGCCTTTTTTTAACTTTTCGGATTAAATAGATATCAGGGTTGACTTATATGTTTTGGGGGGCGCTTTTTATGAAAATAATATCCAATTTAAGATTGGGACCCCCGGGCCTCGACTTTTTTTAACTTTCAGGATTAAATCGATATCAGGGTCGACTCTTATGTTTTGGGGTGCGCTTTTTATGGAAATGTTATCCAATTTGAGATTGGGCCCACCGGGCCTCGACTTTTTTTAACTTTTCGGATTAAATCGATATCAGGGTCAACTATTATGTTTTGGGGGGCGCTTTTTATGAAAATGATATCCAATTAGAGATTGGGTCCCCCGGGCCTTGCCTTTTTTTAACTTTTCGGATTAAATCGATATCAGGGTCAACTATTATGTTTTGGGGGGCGCTTTTTATGAAAATGATATCCAATTAGAGATTGGGTCCCCCGGGCCTTGCCTTTTTTTTTACTTTTTCGGATTAAATAGATATCAGGGTCGACTTATATGTTTTGGGGGGCGCTTTTTATGAAAATAATATCCAATTTAAGATTGGGACCCCCGGGCCTCGACCTTTTTTAGGATCTTGTTACTTAGCTTACTCTGTTTATATTTTAATGTACTTCCTGTTTATAATTTTAATAAGTTTATTCACACTTTTTATAATTTTTTATCTAAATATTATGTAACTTCCACAATTCTCTATATCTTTTTGTATCTTGTCTGTTCTAGCCCTAAAGAAGACCTGCAAAAGTTGGGTCGAAACGTTGGCTTTTAATAAAATAGTTTTGCCATGTAGTTTGCCGGACCATCTCCTTCCTCAGTAAAAATGTTACTATTAAATTTTCAAGGGTATATATTATTCAATCTAATTTTTTTTTTAATATTATGAAAATTGAGATTTGTTGTTGATATTGTATTGTTATTATTTTGAATGGTTAATAATTTAAAATTAAATAGATTAATTAAATTAAAAATAAATAACACACAAGTGTGGTGAAAATTTGTTTTACTAGTAAGTTTTTATTTTTTTCATATACAATACTGGTTGGTATATGTTTTAAATACCCTTAAGGTGCTGAAAACTGTGGGTTATACCCTAATTGGCTCTAAGTATGATTAGTAATCTGATATTCAAAACCTAACAAACTTAATTCAAACACCTTTATAGATTGGAAATTCTATTCAATTCTAAATGGATTGATATTATGAACTAGATTCATAAATGTAATTAAGACATTGAGAAAAAAATACAATAAAACCAGAGATAATTCATATTTTGGAAATTAGTGAATTCCATTCATTTACATAGAAATTTCAAAATTACAACAAAGATTCAAGGGTATTTGAACAAGATACGAAAGAAAAACTGTAGATAACTTTAAGGAAAGAGGTTTCATAGGTAGCCTAAAATGTATGGTTCCACGCAAAAGATAATAATATCAGAAAAAATAAAATGAAATATGTTTACAGGTATATGATTTGTTTGTTATAATAAACATATCTAGCTGTGATAAAAAATAATGAATTTTGTCTATCAAAATAAACAGTTGCTATAATACAAAGGGAAATGAAGTTGTAGCTTTTTAGAACAAACGTTTTAAAATATTTTTTACCAAATACATTCTTAAAAAAATTACATAGTATATCATGAAATTAAATTTTAATGTTAATTACTTACTGTTGCTCGTTCAACCCAAGTATCTGAGAATCACAATGAGAAGAAACTAAGCCAATAGCATCTGAGTTTTGATTACTTTCAGAAATAGGCAAGTCTGCAGGGTAAGGTGCAGGTAAGGTTAAACAGTACATATCTAATGTTACAGTTGCTCTAGCTAAATCCAATGCAGCTGCTTCATTTAATTTACTCTCACTAAACAACTCCCCTATTGTGGAAAACATCAAAATGAACCAAGGAAAATACATGTTTATAAATCATTTACAATAAACATGATTCAAAGTAAATGTACCAACAAAAAATTAATACCATACATATTAATCAGAACTATGATTTATTGAATAACAAAAAATTAAGGTCATTACAGGGTTTCCCATCCCTCCCAAGGTTCATGATGCATGAACTCTCTCCCCTTCCTCCAAGAAATTTTAATGCTCACCTCTTTATAACAACAGTGCAAGAGAAAGTATAATTAAAAAATCATAGATCATTACATTTGTTGTGGTCTGATCCATGTTTTTCCCCCTTTTTCTGAGGTTTGAAACTTTTCACTCTGAATTCATAACCCTGTCAAAATGTTCCCTCCTAAAAATTCTAAATCCCATCAAAAAATGCTCACCTCAAAAATATTTATGGTGCAACTTGTGCCATGAAACCTTCTTATGGGCACCCCTGGATCATTAGAAAAAGCACATTGGAGTATTATATTTTTTCTATGATATGAGCACTTCAGTTATCAAAACAACAAAACTGTTTTAAGAAAATGATATACTACAAAACCTAAATGTGTTCATTATATGTATCATTATATACCCCTTATTTAGATTGAACTGTATATAACAACATGGTAACTTTTCCTTCACAGTTCTGTCTACATACTTAAACAGCATCAAACTCACTATGCACATAAGTCCATTCCTGAATATAAATTAAAATAACAAATATATTAATTAATACTATTCATACCTATGCAAGTTGGGAGTACCTTAACTGCATTACTTAACATGAAATCTTTATTTTGCGAACGAACTGAACAAACTAAATGAAGAAACAATGGAAACAAGTCATCTCCAACATCGTATAAAGAATCACTAGTGCTATCTGAATCCATATTAGATAATAGTGAAGTACGAGCATCATCGAATGTAGATTCAAATCCAATTCTGTCCCAAACACCTGCCAAAAATAAAGAAAAATGGTAATATATATTTTAAAAAGTTGTTGTAACATCCTATACATATACCTACCTTAAATAAGTAATAATATAATAAAACTTTTGTTTTTGAGATAGGATGTTCACACACACAGATCATTTTGTGGGACTTGGTTCTTTAGTTATATTTATGAAAATCGCGTATGTATATGTAGATATTATTATCGGAACCCACATTATATTAAGCACATGTTACTTATGGAAGCCAATTCTAACTTTTTGGCCAAACTCGGGTGTATGCTTGGGTTTATTTGGTTCCTCTATTACTACTGTTCTCCATTACGATCCCTTATTTCTCCTTTAGTTAGTTATCAAATTCTTTCATATTTTATATTTAACCATTTTTTATTGCAGATTACAATGTGAAATGGTTAATTATTTTAAATAAAAAAATAATAAAGGTACTTTAGAGGAAGAAAAGTTAAAATTAGGCATTTAAGTGCTGTTAGAGAATAACAATGAGAATAAAACCTATATTACACTACTGTTTATGATGTCACTACCTACTTATAACTGTTATGATGTCACATGCACACAAACACACACAGACCATTTTGTGGAACTTGATTATTCAAAACATGTAATTTCGTTGAAAACTCAGATTCGAAAATTTTCACGATCACAATACTTTCTCTTACTATATATTAAATATATAGTTAAGTGAAATTAATAACATATAAATTTTAAATCATTATATATTCTACCTAAAATGATATTTTTATAAACAAAAATATATGTGTGTGTGTATAAATATTAAATTTCTAAATGCAAAATAAATATATATATTTTTTTTTATTAACGAAATTTACAACTGTAATGAATAATAAATACAACAAGTAAATATGAACAAGTAATATGACATGTACAACATGAGGAGAAACTACCCATTGGTAGCACTCCAATTTTTTTTTTTTTTTAAAAGAAGGCAGACTATGGTGGTGTGTAGTGCCGAGTAATGGAAGTGACGAAATTACAGAGGGAGAGTACTCCAATTTGGAAACAGCCGTGGTGATTCGAGGAGCCCAGAAGCGTATCTCTACCGAGAGCCAAGTCATCAGGAAGTTGGCTTTGGCTACTAGAAACCACGTGATAACATTATACTGAGCAGATCTGCACTAAATCAATGTACGATCAATGTTCAGTTGTGCCATCACCTGACACACACTTCCCAAAATATATTTAAAATATATCTATCTTCTCTGGTGTGCAGCAGGGCGATTGACTCTCACGGTGCTGTTCAATTTAGCAATGGGGAAAGTTAACACCATGTGAAAATGGAGAGGTGCATGAAGGAATGAATAATTAATAAAATTCTAGGATATCCAGATGATATAACTGTCCTTGGAAGCAATCAAGAGGACAGTGACTGACTCGCTGACTCATTTACAAAAGAAAAATAAATGAAAATAACCAACCAACATGATAGTAATCCAAAAATTCAAACCCAACAATACGATCTATTTAGAAGGAAAATCATCCGAGAATAGAAAAATTCCAATAACTAGGCTCCACAATAACCTCAATGAATCACCAAGGGTGAGAAACATGATGCATGATATTGAAGATCAGGGGTTGGACGAATAATCATTCTCTGATCATTGTTATATCAGATTTGATTTATCTAGTAATAATGTGACTGAGTCTGTGTATAGAAACCCAAAATACACAAATCTGGATTCTGATTGTACACAGCTTTTGAGGAAGAGGTCAAATGCTGTTCTAAGAGAATTAGGAATTCTAGGCATTTGAAATACCTTAATTTATCACTAACTGAGGCAATAATGAGATCTTACACTGATAATAACAGTGTCTGTTCATTTAGGTTCAATGTCCAAAAATGTATCAAGGTGGAACAACAAACTTGGAAAATTGAGAGCCCTTACTTGGAAGCTTTTTAATATAGTGGCAAGAAGACAAATGATACTTATAAACAAGCACTCACTGACTACAATAAGACTGTAAAATACATAAATGTAGGTAGCAGGGCCAGAAGATAAGCATTGAGAAGTTTCTGTAATGATATCAACAACACAGTATCCAAGTTTAGGTTAAATTTTATCTAAGCAGTTGGACAAGGCGGTGATAGTTAAGGTAGGGTGGAAGGGAGCTTAACTAATTCTGAGATGGAGACCCTAACGCTCTGGCATGTGAAAATTACCCTGGATGTTGCTGAAACTGTAACTAATCCCAATATCGATAATCACATTAGTGGCAGAGATAAGTAGGTAGAAGCCAGAAGAATAGTTCTATGAGGGTGGAATCGATAATGAATACATTTGAACCATCTAAATGAGATGGTATTGATAGAATTTTCCCAGCCTTAGTAAAGAAGACTTATCTGCAATAAAATCCTATCTACTTGACCTATTTAGGGGAAGTCTAGCTCTTGCTTACATTCCTAATAGTTGGAGTGTGGGAAAAGTCTATTATTTACCTAATACTGGAAAAGGGTAGTATTACAATCCGAAGGCCTATAGACCAATATGTCTGAATTGATTCTTGTTGAAAGTTCTAGAAAAGATAATGGAAAAATATTAGAGTGAAAGATCAGTTCACACACTCCATTCACATATCAGGCTGGCAAATCTTGAGAGGCAGCATTGTATCATTTGGTCCCCAGAATTGAAAAAAGCTCAAAAAGAGATTATAAATGGCATCTTTGTTGATATAGAAGGTGCCTTTGATCATACTCCTAAAGATACTATGGTGAAAGCTCAAGATAGGAAAGCAGTTGAACTTTTGGCTTCCAGATGTATCAATTTGATTCTGAAGGAGAGAATACTTCTCTGAAGAGAATCTGAATTAGAGAAAACTGAACTGTGAGTCAAACCTATTGGGGAGGGGGAAGGGGCTGTTCTCGGGGAGATGTACTGCCTCCACTTTTAAGGTATTTGGTTGTTGCTTCTTTGTTAATCAAACTAAATGCTACAGGATTCTATACTTAGGGATATGCTGACAATACTAGTGATGCTAATAATAGTATTAATTGGGGGAAATTTTCTAGATTGCCCAAAGTAATAATGAAATTTCTGAAAGAGTGATGCCAAGACAATGGACTTGGCATAAGCCCGTAGATGATAAGTAATATTGATTCTAACAGCATATGCAAGTTTACAAAGGCTACAGGCCTGTTTTAAAAGAGCATAGGATGATGCAAAATAGGCTACAAAGCATTAATGCCAGAGATAAAAAATCAAAAAAATCAAGGGATTGAAATCCCAAGAAATGTCAAATTAAGGGTATATGATAAAGCCAGTTCCGATATACAGCTGCAAGATCTGGACACTAACCAGCACCTTAAAAAGAATTATTCAAAGACTTAGGAGTAAAATCCTCTGTACAATAACCGAAGTGATTTAGGATCACAGTACTAATGCATGGAAAAGAAGGACCAATGAACTCCTTACAAATAAACTAATCAATCAATATGTTATGATAAGTATGATAACAAGTCTTCAATCTGTTTTTTATCTTTTTCTTCCATTGCTGTATATTTATCTTAACTCTTTGGAATGAAAATCATTATTCAAAGCTATTTTAACAAAAGGAGGCCAATTAATATCTCATGATATAAAGGAAAGGAGGTTAAGATGGGCGGAAAAGTATAAAAAGTATCTGCATGAGATAACTGAAAAGAAATAGCCCAAGATATCGAGAGATAGAGCAGGCTGTTTAAAGCTGCAAAATACCTACAAGATCTGTAATGCAAACAGAGAAAATATATATATAGAAAAATCAACTTTATTCTGGGAACAAGTCCCTTAAGAATAGCAATAAAAACAAAAATGATGATCAATTATGGCCATAAGACCAATTACATAATAAGAAAGTAAAATAAATACCAATGCATGTACATTGTTAAATATATATATATATATATATATATATATATATATATATATATATATATATATATATATATATATATATATATATATATATATATGTATACATATTAATTAAAATAAATAAATACACTAGAAACCGAAGAGAAAAGGTGAAATAAGACAATCGCTACTTAAATATAATAATATAGAATGGGTAATTAAATTAAATATATAAGCAAACAATCTTAACTAACAAAGAAAAAAAAAGTAAATAAATTGCTACTTCTGTAATTTAAAAAAATGTGTAACTAAATAAATATAATGGTTTAGAAAATTTTATAAATAAATTAACATAATAGTTAACTGTATCCAATAGCTCTGTAAATATAATATATGTATCCACATTTCTTACAAAAAATAAAACTTATAAAGAAAAATTAATAGCTAATAAATATTTAGCCAGGTGTCTGATTGAGTTTTGAAGAGGAAATGGAAAAAGATGGTTTTAAATGTGGATAAGGAAGGTGCATGAAGGACTTTAAAAGGGATAGATTTTCAAAAAGTGGTGGAGCGGGCAATATTTGTTTTGGAATGAGCCAAATCTATGAAAAACCTGTACCACTACAACCCATGAAGGGTATTGGGTTCAGTACTATTTAGGGAAAGCACTGTTTCTTGATCTACGGTCGGACAAGGAGGTGATTTGACCGAGATCACGCTCAACCGCCAGGTTTTTCCCTTTAATTAATTATTTAATTAAGGGTACCCACGTTATAGAAGCTGGGTGCCCCCCAGGAATGTCTACCTACCCAGGGCTACCCCATGGCCAATGAAACAGAATTTCTCTGTCATGAGCCAGGATTCGAACCTGGAAACTTTAGCTTTGGAAGCTCAGTACCCTACCACTGAGCTCCCCCAGTCCCCCAAATCTATGAAAAGGAATATAAAGGTCAGAGTGTTGAGATTTTGTGGAGAAGGAATGGATAGAGGACTTGAATTGGAGGAGATTGTAGGCATAGGACGGGTGATAGTTCTTGATTATTTGGTTAAGGAATGTGCCTATGAAGTATTAATAATAAGAAAGGGAAGAGCTACCCTAACTCAGTATAATAGTGGGAAATAGGGGATCATGGGGACATATCTCAGGAACCCATTGATGAATCTTATGAAACAATTCATAATTCTTCCTAGTCTTTCTGCGAGATTCTGCTATAAACCACAGAGCCATAGTCAAGGTGATGAAAGATGAGGGATGAAACTAAGAGTCTTCATGTGGGTTTAGGTAGAAGAAGGCGGAAGCAGTGAAACAGTTTTAGAGTATAAATTGACCAACGGGAGATATGAGCAATGTGGTGATTCCAAGAGAGCATTTGGTCAATGACTAAGCCATATTTTTAATTGAGGAACTGGAGGAGACAAGATGGTAATTTAGGTGTAGGGTAGGACAGTTAGTGTTGGATCTGAGGAAGGGTTTTGAACCAAGGACAATTGCTTGAATTTAGCAGCATTTAACCTTAATCCATTTAAACTTGCCCAGTTACTGATACAATCTTAGTCTTCTTGAATTGATGAATGAATGAATTGATGCAACACATAACTCAGAAGGAGAAAATGATAAATAAATTTGGGAATTGTTGGCATAGATGTGATGGAAACAATTAAGGATTGATTTATGCAGATCATTAATATAGGAGCTGAAGAGAAGAGGAGATAGGCTTGAGCTTTGGGTCACTCCAGATGTGAGAGTAAGATAGGAAGACAGATGTTAATTAGGAATAGAAACTGCCCTCACCATTTTAATTTGAGAAAAAGGATGGAACGCTTAATGGTATTAAATACTTTAGAAAAATCAAGAAGTATATGGACAGTTAGTTTTTTTTTCATCTATAGCAGATTTGATATCAATGGTGATTTTAATTAGAGTGGATTGAGTAGAGTAATCGAGTCAGAAATCTGATTGGCGAAGTTCCAATTGACTGGACTGTTCAAGGAAATCGGAAACTTGAGATTGCACAAGTCTTATCAATAGACACTTGTAAAAACAACTAAAATAAATATAATCCAGACAAATCCTCCTTATTAGTTACAAGGAGTTTAAAGCTTACATGACTAATTTTTAAATCTATAACTACATATTATGGAAGTTACTCACCTATACTACTGTTCTGATTACTACTGAATTCTATTACATCAGATTGTAAAGTAATATTATCATATTCCTGATTATCAACAGCCTATTAAAAAAGAATTGGATTAGAAATAAAAAAATAATGCTTATAAAGATTGAAGGAAACATTTAAGGTAACTGAAATTAAACATTTAACTTGTACATTTTCTTAGCTAGAATAAGAATCCCATAGATTCATTATAGCACATATCCTTTAGTGAGTATCTATATATATATATATATATATAGAAATGAATGTATGTCCGTTTGTCCTTTATGCATTACTAAACCATTCATCCTATTGCTATAAAACTTGGGGAAGTTGTTGCGTACACTCTCGTGAAGGTTTCTAGCATAATACATCCATCCTACAATAATTATATATGTGTAAAAAAGATATCGCTAAAGACTGCCAGGCCAAAACGGCTAGAATGATTTTAACGAAACTTGGCTAAATTCTTCCCCTTGAAACCCTTTTAATTTATGTATATAACATACTTTCCCGAAAACTAGCTGCAAAAAAGGTTACGATGAATCCAAAATTTTATTTGCCAATAACTAAAAAAGCACACAATTTTTGATTGATAATATCCATATTTATTTGAAGGCTTCCTGAATTCTCTAGAACAAAAAAAAAGTCATCGAAATTGATGTGTTGCAGAGATATAGATCTTTAAACATTTACGGCTGTTTTTTCGGTAAAGGCATTCTCCCCGCCTCTTTTTATAACCCCCCCACTACAGTTTTTATAACTCTATATTTAATCAAGTTGTTGTTAAGAAAAAGTGGGCAATCAAATATCTTAGGAGGGGTATGCAAAATCTTTGAAGGAGGTGGAAGGCAGCTCTAATGCACACAAAATGAACGCTATGGTAAGCGATATAGCACAATTGTAACATTTGATATTTGAAAATTTTTTAGCATTGAAACGGTATCTTAAAATATTTTGAACAGCATGTGTTGCTTTTACATCCAACTAATAGTGGGTTTTTAATAAATATATATAGTTTTACCTTATATTTTATAATAGTAGATATATGTAACCATGGGTGTATTTGAATGCAGCTTTAAGCCAAAATTTCAAGGCAATCGGTGAAGAACTTTCCGAGATTTAAGATTTTGAACAAGCGAACATTTTTCATTTTTATTTACCATCAAATAACAAAAAAAAAATTGAACATTAAATTTAAAAAATATTAATAATAAAATTAAACATGAAAATAATGAGTCGTATGAAAGATGGATCTCTGTCATTTTCAGAAAGCAGAGAAAAAGTCTATATTTGTTTATGGGTTCAATTCAAACTATTTCAGATGATTTTATTCAAGGATATTCAAGTTGAATCTGGAAAAAAAAATCATTAGAATTAGTTTAAATTGAAGCTTAATTAATTAATTAATGTTACAAACAAATTTTTTTTCTCAACTTTTAAAAATGACAGATGTCCTTTGATATTAAGCCACTCATATGTGTTTTCTATTTTCTTTCTTTCAGCAGCGCATGGACCGGGTAAAGATAGTATGATATAAAATAATACCTTCTGTCAACTAGTAAATAAAAAAGCAGTTCATCAATATTTGTTTAACATAATGTTAAGTCCCTCACATGGTCAGATAAGACAAAAAAATATATATAGAATAATACAAATTGACCCACACAAATCTGTCAAGAAAGTTAAAAATGTAATAAAGATTTATATTCGAATCAAATTAACCAAAAGTATGCACTCAACATTTGTTAATAAAATAAAGGTATTCTTAAATATATATATATATATATATATATATATATATATTGTTAGTTTATTGCAAAAAAGTCAAAAGTAGCATTTCATAACCTAAAATCACAAAGAATTTTTTATGTAATTGTGTACTTGAACTATATTTGATAAAAAATATTTTTATTTGATCAGGATCGCATTGCCTATTAATGGGGCGTGGAATATGACAGAGGAAGTGATAGAAATATGGCCTCCTTTAATTTCTAATTGTATGTAGAAATTTTATTTATATTTTAATTATACGATATGCAAGAAATTAGCATCAGGATTAGAGCCAAATCTATTTAAAATAATCAAATTTGCTAAGTAGGTTTATTTATAGAAGTGGACTAAGCAGCTTTAAGTTATTGTAAATAGAAACCATCTTTTCTAATTCAACCAATCCATGAAATAAAATTGAACAAAACACATACAACAATGATTTAGTCAAAATTAAGTTTTTCAGTGTCTTTTGAATTAATAAAATCTCTGGAAAACAAAATGGTGTTGCAACTCTTTGTTAATTGTACCTCATTTTAAAGCAATCTAAAATAAAATATCTGAAGCAGTTTTGGAAAAAAATATGAATTGTAACAGTGACAATGAAAACTATGAATATGAGAACAATATGTTTATAGATGAGAATGATATTTAAAAAATATTTGACTTTTGTGAGGAAAAACAATGTATATCCTATTTATTTCTAATTTTTAACTTTTTATAAAAAAACAATGTGCAAAATTTGTGTCTGTATCTACTTTTAAAATATTACTAGTGTAATTATCGTTTTTGACACTGAACAACCCCTAATGTTCTGTGATTTGTTTCCTTCTTATTTCCCTCCACACTGGACTAGAGATGAGAAAGAAGAGACTAATGATTTATTTAATAAGATTTACCTTTGGTACAAAAAATAATATTAAAGAAGAAATAAAAGTAAGGATGGCAGCTGGTAGTAAGTGTTTGCATACATTTCAGAAGGCACTATGTTTTAAAAATCTCACTCACAAAGCCAATTTGATGGTGTATTAAACAATCATTCAGCTATTGGTAAAATATGGCAGCAAAATATTGGTCCTGACTCAAGAAAATGAAAAAAATATTATTGTGTGAGAAAGAAAGATACTCCAAATGATATATGGGTGACTAATGAATTGGAATAATGGCGATCGAGGAAAAAGTATAAAACTAATGGAGATGTATAGTGAATCAGATATTGCGGTATTCATCAAGATAGCAACAATATGATGGCTTGGTTATGTGAAAAGAATAGCAGATCACCAACTAAGAATGATTCTATACCAATTGCCAGAAGGATGCTGAACGAGTAGAAGACTATGTCTGAGATGCTTTGATAAGGTGGAGGCAGACCTGTACCAGATAAGAGTGAGGGGATGGTGAAAATATGTACCTGACTGAAAAAAAGCAATGAAGATAATAATGGAGGCCAAAGCCCTACAATGGGGATTGATTTGTGGGCATTGAATAAATAATCAAAATTTATTTGATATTTTTATTTTTTACTGACCCTCCGGCCATCTACTTCTTGATTTACCTATTTAATAATATATTGACATAAATAAGTAATATTAAATATGCAAAATTAATAAATCTAAATAACTAAATATTTCATATCAGATAAATTAAATGTAGAAAGAAATTTAAAAAAGATTACCAATCTTGAGAGTTGTGTAGGACAACAAAAGTAGTATTCTGGAGTACTAGGAATTGCTTTAAAACACACAGTCAAAATCTCTAAAAATCTTTGTCTAATAAGCTTGTGTAAAGGTATAAGCTCATTATTTTGGCAATATTGGGATAATAAAACTGGTAAATTTTTACACTTATTGGATTCAATCAACATCTGTTTATAATGCCCACATATTGTCTGAAAAAAAAAAAAAATAGAACATTATTATGAAGTTATCGTATTTAATTCTATTTTATTAAATGAAAATAAATGTGAATAGATCTTCAAAAGTGTTATTATAAAATATGTAAAGAAATAAAAGGAAATTAAAATTGTACAATATCTAAAAAATAAACCTCGCTAGTCAGTTAAGTTACATAAGCCAGCCAAACAAGAAAAAGCTCAACTGAGAATCAAAAAGCTTGAGAAAAAAAATGTGGAACATCCTTGACAGGCACTGAAGGGAAAAGGCAACTCAACTGATTTGTTTATATTTCTAAAATAAATTCTTATAGGTATTATCAAAATTTTAGGGAAGGTACAGAATAAATGACAGCTAGGGCTGGATCACATTCATAGGTTACTTTACATTCAAGCACTATGGACAATATTAATAGCTTCAGAATGATGCTTACTAACAAGAAAACAAGAGGTCACAATCAGTGGATCACCGATTTAAAAAAATTCTTTGGTGATTCTACATCAAAAAATATTAGGCACATATCCCTAAATCCCTGAAAAGTTTTGTGAGGATCAGTGGAGTCCTCTTGAAGTTATCACAATTTTATAATAGATAGACTGTATATATTATTCTTGAAATATAGAAAAATACCCTTTATTTCAGTCTCGAGTTTAATTTAACATTACAAGGAGGCTTCAGTGTATTGTATTATATTCATCTCTTCTAATTTGTATCCTCATGCATTGTTCTTCATACTCTGACTAACCCGATAAGGATGGAAAAGATCCTCTCTCCTCCAATAATATAGTTTAATAAACAATATGATTGTATTGTCTATTATATTATATCATACATAATTTTTAGATTATATATTGTCAATGAATGATTGGAAAGAGAAAAAAAAAATTAAAGCACAATGGCATCCAGGTGGATCGATATAGATTAGAAGAGATGAATATGGTGTAATATACTGAAAACTCCTTGTAATGTTGAAATAAACTGGAAACTGAATTAAAGGGTCTGACCTAGGCAAACATTTTGCGCAAAAAATTGTTCTTGTTGGATTGCGATAAAAATTAATTTTAAGGGTTATTTGAGTGAGGAAAATAAATAATGATTTTGTCCCACTTCAAAAATTATTTACCCAGACATTGCTAAATCAGTGGGTATAATATGTTTCAATATTGTAATAATTTTAGATATAGCTAAATTGGACTGACCACCGTAGCAATGTGGGGATAAATATTTTTTTAAGTAATGTTGATATTCATTTTCTGCACCTCAAAAAACCCTTAAGTATTAATATTTATAGCAATAAAACAATAAAAACTATTTGTCAAAATTTTCCCCCAGGTTGGACCTTTCCAATTTTTTGTAATAGCATAAAAATTGTGATAACTTCAAGAGGTCATAGGGATTAAGGATCCTATAGACTACACTAATTGGCACAAACCAGAAATCTACAAACAAATTATAACCAAAGTTATAAAATAAAAATCTTCAGAGATATTTTTCATTATTTCATATAAATCTGGGTTATATCTATTATTTTCTAAAAAATACAAATAATGGACAAAGCTTATGCTAGAAGGTTCTGAAATGATAAATTATGCTCAAAACTAATTTGTAAAAATAAAATTGATGTGCATAGATGTTGCGGCCAATAGTGAAAAAAATATATTACAATATATTTGTTGTACGTATAATATACTAATACCATAATAATCATAATATATTATGATGGGTTCATTGTAAATGTACATATTGTTATTGTATAGGTATATTGTTATGTATTAGTGGGAGGTCCTCGCCTAATTCCTACTGTAACCAGGCACCATTGAGTTTACCACTTTATAATGTATAGTAATATAATGTATAGGAAGTGAGTGCTTTCTTTTAGAAATATTATGAATTTGTGCTGTTTTTAACCTCACCCATCTTAGGGACATAGAAAATAGACTGCTAAATTTATATTTACATAGCATAAATCAGGCAGTGAGTCACATATGCGCACATTTTTAATTATATTATTATTATATTGACACAGTGCCTGGTCTAATCATAAAATTAGTGGGTTCTCAACCAGTAACAACATAAACTTATAACTAGAGACTGGATTTTGGTGCAGTAAAAATCCGGAAAACGTGCAGTAAAAATCCAAAATATGTAAAATTGTGTAATTAACACCTAAAAACGTAATATCATCAATTTTGTTTAATTTATAACATTAATATATCAAAATCTTATCAGATCTTGAGTTAACCGAGAGATAAAAATAAAAAATTGAAATGTTGCATTGAAAATGAAATTCCAGATCATAATAACGATTATTAACAAATAATGCAGAACATTAAAGATTTGAAGGAATAAATGAAGGCAGGAATTATAGGTACCTATATATTATATAGACCAGACCAATTTTAGATATTTAACATTTATTAAAAATAAAATGAAAAATTTATTTTTTAATAGAGTTGATAGAGTTCGCAATATTGTACATTCCAAAACTTTTTGTTAAAATTTAAAGAATTAAAAAAAATAATTGAAATATATTGTAATGTTTGAGTTTTTCAAGTGTTCAAATATTAGTGTTGAAGCTGTTTTTCTACATCACTAAAAAAATATTTTTGGGGATTAGGTTCTTTCTAAAAAAACATTCAATAATTTGATAAGAATATTTTTTTCTTACATGTTTCCAAATGAGCGTCTATCAGTGATTTCCCATCACCTGATTGATTTTTTATAAGATGTATAGAACTTTTCATCAAATTCTTTGTCCTCACATTTCAAATCGGGGTATTTTTATATACAGATTTTAATTTTTGACGGGAGAATATTACTTCCAGCATTATCAATTTTTTTTTTTTTTTTTTATAAGAATGAAATTTCTAAAAATCAATTCAAAGCCAGAAGAGATACTGAAGGGTTGAACAGTGAGTGAGGATTCAAGCCAAAACAATAACTATAAATGTATTACTAAGAAAGCAGCTAATTCTAGGAAAGCAGTTTTTTATTATCCAATACTTTAGGTAAGTTCTATTCCAAGAACAGGTCTTACTTGTGTTTACTTCTTCCTTTTGTAATGAATACGATTTTTGCTTCACACAGAATTATTTGCCTTCTTCATACTGTTCTATTTTTAATAATGAATTTAATTTGAAAAATATAGAAAAATAAAAAGTAAAATAAATATTAACACACTCACCTATACATTTGTAATTATAAATTGTCTAATTTAACACAAAAGTTCAAAAATGTGCAATTTAATGCAACAAAAATCAAAATCGTGGAATTTAAGCCAAAAATGGCAAAAGGTGCAATATCAAATTTAAATATGGTATTCTAGAGGTCCTGAAATGGATAGATATTCTGGACCGGAGTTTTTACACACAAGCAAATAAAAAGTGCAATAACATGGAAATCTGGTCTCTACTTATAACTTTGGAGAGAAGTTGGTTGGGGTTTTCCAGTCGATGAAAGAATAAAGTAAAAATAAATAAATTATATTTATTTCTAAGATTTATTATCGTGAAAAAATATTACTATGTACTTTTTTCTCAATATTTACATGTTATCTTGCCTTTGCTTAGCCCTAAGGATGGCCTGAAACTAAGGCTGAAACATTGGCACAAAAAACATAAATAAATATAATTTATTAATTTTTAATTTGTTCTTTCATTGACTGAAAATCCTAACCAACTTCGCTCAAATATATTCTACAGTCAATAATTATGAACTATCTTTTATCTAAACCTATTAAAAAGAAGAGAAAATCTAATTTCAAATTACAATTCAAAAATGGTTTAAAACAAAAAAATTATCCAGAACACCCTTCTGCATAAACTGGTAGATGAAACAGTGAGGTCATGTATAAAGCCTCAAACTGAAATTTGAGGAGGGCTATACTGGAACTACGAAGTTTCTTAAAAATGCCTTAATTGATATTGGGTGTACATATGATGCCACAATTATATTAAAAAAGAAAATAAGAAATACAGATTGATGATTATGCTGCATTTCCAGAGACCTAAATTCTTTACCTATCCAACAATAAAAAAATACCACAACAGATATACTAAAAATACTTGAAAATTCATCCAAGAACACAACTAATCTATAATATTTTGGAATTTTTATTTTTACCTTTACTCTATGCCAGAAGACTTCTGCACGATAAAAATTTTAATCAGAAATTTAATAGCTTTGTTAGCAAAAATTGGCCCATTGTGGATGCACTTTTTAAAGAAATTTATTTATTTATTTATAAAATATCTACATTATCAAAATAAACTAAATGCTAGTTCAATCTTTTTGACAAACCTTTTTTCCAATGTTTTCAAATAAATAAATTATATCAGGTCAATGGTGAAACAGTTACTATTAGATAGCTTAAAATACATGACTGCCATTTCATGACGGTTGATGATATTCTACTATAAATTTTTTTAATATATTCCATTTAACTTACATACAGTTAAATGAAAGTTCCCTATAAACTTTAATTATACATATACTTAATAGTAAATATTTCAAATATTTAAAGAAGAGAAAAAAAACAACAATGTGTATGCTTTATGAGGAGTATTTAAATCATAATTTATTAATTATACAAGGATCATCCAGTATGAAAAGAATGATTATTCATAAGGCTGAGTGTTGGTTTCCCACCACTAAAATCACATGTGCAGTAGTTAACTTATTCACTCAGCTTAGAGTTAGTCTAGTTTAGATATATCTTTTCCATAAATTATCAAAATAGAGGTGCCAATTAAAAATTCTGCCAAATGTGAATTACATATCATGATTCATTTTCTAGAATGCACAAAAGATTTTATCAATTTATAGGCAAATAGTGAACATGTATGCTCAGTGCCGGCCTTAGACATTTGGGGCCCCGGAATATGAAGTCATCTTCCCTCCCCCTAAAAGAATTAAGTAATTTCTTAAACTGTTTAATATTATGTAATAGTTGAATTTTATTGCATTCAACATTTCTCTAATACAGTTGCATTATCGGTTATTCTGAAATTAATTATTTTAATACGTTTTGAAACTTTTTTTATTTCTTACAAGTGGCAAGCACCCCTAAAAATAAACCGGTGCCCCCAATGGGTCCCTCCAAATCTATGTCCTGGGGTAATTGTCCTGGTTGTGCCACCCTAAGGCCGGCACTGTGTATCGTTAAATACAATGAAGAAGTACTTCAGTGAGGAAATGATGTATAATGTTCTGTATTTTCAAAATGGTTCCTAGAAGCAAAAACAGAGAGAAGGCAACCTAGAGGCAGGCTGTTGAATTGTGACTACATGAAGAGACTTGTGCAAGCCAGAGGTAGCACCATGGTGGATATGAGAAGGAGGGCCGGGCCGATGACAGAGATCAGTGGACAAGATGGGTCGAGGTTGTTCCTCCATGCTGATGTCACTAAGGAGGTGGCAAAAGAAGAAGAAGGAATCTAAGGAAATCATAAGAAAAGGCAAGGAAGGTAGTAGCCAAGTGATGGGGGAAGGGGAGAGAGAGGAGGGATGAAACCATACCCCCTCATCACACAAAAAGAACTACAATTTCATTTGGAAATTTTTGACATCTTCCATACAGCCTGGTTTCCAAGACTGAGGTTTTTTTGATACAAAAGAATACACAATAGATGAAGACCTCAAAGCAGCAGTGACATTATGCCTCATGTCTTTAGTGGTAGAAGAGTATAACATTGGCACTAAAACACTGGTAACACATTACAATAAATGCCTTGATAGCAATGGTGATTGTGATAAACAATAAAATAAGATGTTGTTAATAAAATTTTGAGTTTGTTTGTTGATATACTTTGTTTTTATTTAATTATCATTCTTTATTTTCTGGATGACCCGCATTGCTTTATCTTTAAAAATATTTTTACCTGGATATATTTTGTTATATCTATTTCTAGAAGGGTTTCTTCGCATTCATCAACAGCAGTCTGAATATCTAAAGTGTTTATTTTGTGGTTCAGGTGAAGAGATTTAAAAAGAGCAACTACAAAACACTTACTGAATGCCTGTAAAACAACCTTGCAATGATGATGAAGATCAAGCTCATCTAAAAAATACATATTAAAACATAAATAACTTATAAATATAAAAATATGTATAAAAAATACATATACAAAAATAAATAAATAATAACCTTGTTTAGCTAATATGAAACAAAAACAATATCATATATTGTATATTATGTAAAAATACATGTAAACAGAACAATGTTTTTATTGATTTCTAAAGTTTTTGAAGATAGAAATTAATACTAGAAATGGAAATAGAAATGGAAATTAATACTAAAAATCATAGGATAATAAAACACTTGACTATCAACACACCACAAGGATTGTGCCTCTCACCAATCCTGAGTAACATTCTGATAAACTCAATATTTGTCATGAACATTTTAAAAATGGACAAATGCATCTTTATGCTGATGATGTTTTACTACTTTCTGCTAACTAACTCTTCAAACAACAAGCACTAAAAAATCACAAACTAACATTCTGGGGAAAATGGGCTAAAAGAAATACACTAGACTTTAACTTGGACAAGACCACCAGCACAGTATTAAACAGGAAACAAAAACTGCCCAAAATTAATACATATATAAATTCTAAAACTCAGTTAAATATGAACACAATGACTTATTTACGAGTAAGATTTGATATGAAACTCAGCTTGAAGGCCCATATTAACATAATAGCAAACAAAAAATTAAAGAAAATGAACGTATTAATAATTGCAGTAAGACAGATGTGAGGACTGAAAGCAGAAGCTCTGAAGATTATAATCAAAGGTGCAATGGTTCTGATACTTCTTTATGCTGTGCCTGCCTAGTATTCATGAATGACAAAGCAAGTGAACCAGAGAAAATTAGAAAGGGTACAAAGATTATTCAGAATTAAAATCAGCAGAGCCTTCTATAAAATGTCTTACAATAATACCTATGTATTAATCTAATAATAACTATTATTAACATTATTAATTTAAAAAGCAGTAAGTGCATAGAGTTAATTTATAATGTTTTCTGAAATCATAAAGAAACATTGCCGAGTAATGCTGAGAGAGGTAGTATCAGAACAGTAGTCAGTATCTGTCACTGTGATTGACTTTTATTTAAGAAAAAACATAAGTACAGTGCAATCTTAGTAATCAGAATTAATTGCTGTAGGAGAGTATTCAGATTACTAAAAAGTTTGGATTATAGAGGGTGTTTGGGAAAGCTACCTACAATAAAAGATTAAGTCAATAAATAAATAATAATATAATTTTTATTTTACAAATATAGTATGTAATTATTTTTTAAGAGCTCAGTTATTTGTTTCAATTTTGGCTCATGGATATCTTTTCTCACTATTTCTTCTCTTCGATGTTAAAATAACGATTAGAGATAAGGATGGGAGATTGATTTGTTGACATGACATATGGTTTAATGTTGCACATTTTGTAATTGTATTGAACTGTATTGCCCCAAATACAGTTACTAAACCAAATAATGCATATTTAAGCTTTCCTGTCATTTTACTTTAATAAAAGAAGATGAGGTATTCGCAAATAATAACCATAGAAAGGGTGGATTTTCGAGCATACATATGAGATAAGGAAATTAGACTAGATAGGAATGAAACTATCCATCAATCCATCCTCCCTATTTTTTATTTATAGTTAAATACTGTCCTTTGAAAATAATCTACAAAAAATTGTTGAAAAGCAAATTAAAACTACTTAACTTATTTTTCTCATAGGCCACATAGCCCATGGGCAGTTCCCAACATTGCCTATATGAATAACTAGGCACTATGAAATACCCAGATCAAAAATAAGGAAGGCCAAAAGCAGAAGGTACTTGAGGAATAGAACGTGCATTTCCAAAGCATCTTAAATAGAACAATTATAAACTGACACAAACAAAGTAAATACCCATAATGCTGCCAAACTACAATAACATTACATTGGTTGAAGTAATTAAACAGTGTTCCCTTCTTTGACAAGGATAAAAAGTGATTTCCAGGATTTTATAAAGCCAGTTGCTGTCCATTGTGCAATTTTAGAAAAGTCCTGGAAGAAAAACAATGACGTACCAATGGTTATAGTTGATTTCTGAGGGGTGTACAATTCAATACACCTAGATAGTCTTTGGAATACTATGATGGATATGGAGATCTCAAAAAAAAAATTATAAGATTCTGCAAAGGAAGGAATAAAGAGGCTATAGGTTGATTTGACACTAATATTTAATTAAAATTAAAACTATCCTAAAGGAAGGAGACTGTCTCTTACCTATGCTATTCAATATTGTGCAAGATAGAGCCATCAAATAAGCACACATTTGGGCATCTAGACCCCATTCTTACTATATGAATATATTGTTATAGGTTAATACTACTGTATAGATGTGAAACCTGGACATTGATAATATATCAGGCTTAAAAGCTTATTGAACAGAATTATATCTGTACAAAGGATACCAAGGTCTATAAAGGATGGCTATACCATAGTTCAAATAGAACTATGGAGAAGAAGTTATGCAGAGTTCAGAGCTTAAAGATTTGATTCTAGAAATAAAAAGAAGTCAAATATATCAGCTGGGCTGGGCATGCCATCAAGAGGCAGAGAAAAGTCAACTTGTTAAAATTTTGGATGACTGAGGAGGTCAAGGAGGGAAACTGAGACTAAATTGGTTGAATTTTGTCTAACAGGACTTAAATACAGGCTTATAAGCAGGATTTCCACTGGCAGCCTGTCTCACAGGAAAAGTAAAAGTAGAAAAGACTTAATGATACTAGATCTTTACAGTCTGTAACTATTGAAGCGTAAAATGAAAGAGTATTTACTTTAAAATTATACTGAATAACTGTGATGACGAATATTTTCAACAACAAGAGAGCAATGCAAAGTGCAGATGAAATATTTTCATACCACTTGCCCCTTCCGCCTCAAAACTATTGAATCATGTTAGATATATTAATGTAAATGGTAACAAAAAATCATTATAAATACAGGAGTAAAAAAACTACAGATGTTTCCAATTTTGAAATTTCTTACAAAATTATAAAATCAAGGTTATGTATTTAATTTTGTATTATTTACTATTCCGAAGTACATCCAATATGTTTAACCAAAAGAGAGAAATTCTTCTATTTACATACTTAAGTATCAGAGACTAAAATTCATCAGAAAAAAAGAACTGCAAGGTTTTAGAAGAGTTGCTATAACCTAACCTAATTATATAAAATGTTATGACAGAGAACAATTATTTGAAAAAACAAATTCTGCTAATGTCCCACATATCTTACATATAAAACCATATCCTGTTACGATTGACTACAGTACAGCATCCAGAAAAAACTTGTTGAACTATTATTTGTAAAATGAATATTTATCTTTAGTTTAATTAAATATAAAGAGACTTTTTATTAGCATTAACAATAAGGCATAATATATTATTTCAATATTGAATGTTCAATATACATCCAAAAGTAAAAATAAGATGGTAATGATTATAAATAAATTAAATTAAAAATATTTCTTGCTTAGGCTTGTACCTGGGGTTGTATCCGTTTCTGATTTAGCAAATAATGGATTTTCACTTTGAAGGACTTTTTCACTTTTATTAGTTCTATCTTGGAATATATCAGGTCTCCTCTCAAAACTTGTTTTAAAAATAAGAGCATCGACTAAATTTGATAAGGGGCAGTCATATATGTAAATTGGTAAGGTTAAAGCACCTAATACAGAGTTTTGAGAAACTTTTAGATCATCGCTTTCATCATAAGATTTTTTCAAGAAGTGCCATGGTTTTATTCTGGCGCCAACTGAACTTGTTCTAGTTCTTCTAAAATCCAACTTGGAAACTTCTGACTGTTTCTTCATAGGATCCCAAGAACTGGAACGAAGACGAAAAGGGTTATCTAAAATTTTATTTGTTTCTTTCATACCAGATACAGATTCAAATACTAAATCATCTTCACTTTGTTCGGTTTCCAAAATACTTTTACTAGAAGATTTTGAACTACTATTTTGCAACTTTTCTGTGTCCATTACATTTCTTGGGTGGAATGGTTCTGCTTCTGGGTTTAAGTTTGATTGAAGAACAAGTTTGTTTGTTTTTTGGTCCTCTCCGCTACTTGAGCCATCAACAGGTTTATAAACCTTAGGTTCATTCTTAAGCATAAGCATTTTTAGATCATGGAAGGAAGCTGGTATAAATGTCAATACACAATGTGTAGAGGCCATACTTTTGACAAAACACCTCCACTTGGGTATTTGAGGCCTATATTTCTTATTAAACCAGAGAGGTATCTTTGTAGATCTTCTAGCATTTTTGGCATCATCAGAAGAACCTATAAACAAATTAATATTAATGCTGAAAACAAGAAAGAGTAAATATATATATTTTTAAATTAATATTATTTTTGTAGCTTTTCAATTGTTTATCTAAGGCTATGGTGTAAAGAAAGTCTGCATGTTTTTCTTTTTAGTAACTAAAAGAACTTTACAAAAAAATATAATAAATAAATGTGTAGAGGACATAATTTTGACAAAACACCTCCACTTAGGTATTTGAGACCAGTGTTTCTTATTAAACCAGAGAGGTATCTTTGTAGATTTTCTAGCATTTGCGTTATCATCAGAAGAACCTATAAACCTGTTTTAACAAAACCCGTGAGGAGTTGCTAGTCTCTCATCGAGCAACTCCCCAGGTGGCAGATAGGGGAATACTCACCAGATATGGTGGGTACCGGGGAAATAAAATACCCGGGGCGGACCAAAACTAGCAAAATCCAGGTGGAACGGTTCCCAAATTAGGCGGGAACCTGGTCAGCGTCTGTTTCTCTTGTCAGGGGCGGCTACTTCCACATCACTTGGCAGGAAGATATAAAATGCAACTACCCATCAAAAATGGTGAGAACTAGAAGACAAATAGCTTTGGACGAATCTAGAGTGAGGGCTGCTCTGGAGGGAATGGACCACCAGTCCTCGACATCGGCAGGCAGTGCAAGTGGTGCTCCGATGCTGTATGGATTCGTAAGACCGGTAGCAGCAATGGCCAGCCCAACGTAACCTTCCAATCTTGATAAGCTTGATCGGATCCACCTCTTTGTGAGCTTTTTCAGAGCTCCTGAAGTTCTCGATTTTTCCTTCTGTGCCATATATTCCTATCTCAAACAGGCCCAAAGATTTTTCGGAGGATCCTCCATTTGAACGTAAGAAGTTTTCCTTTGCCTGCCTTTGTGGTAGCCCAAGTTTCTAATCCATAGGCCAACACTGGCCATATCAGTGTCTTATATAGGTGTGTTTTGGTTTTATGGCCCAGAGACCTACTTTGTAGATGTTTTGATAGGCATCAGTTAGTTGCAGTAATTCTTCTTCCGATTTCCAGGCTAAGGTCATTGCTTGAGCTTAGTTGTGTGCCTAGATATGTGAATGATTATACCTGCTGGGACATATATGATCCTATTTCTAGGAATGGCTCCTGGAATCCTCCGCCACCAGCATATAGATATTTTGTTTGGTGGTCATTAATAGCGAGTCCCAGCTCCTTTGTAGCCTTCTCCAATGCCAGAAAGGCCTCTTTTAGGGCACGCACTGATCTGGCTATGATGTCAAAATCATCCACATAACCCAGAAGCCGAACCAAGGTGGAAAATTTTGTCTGATAAGTTTGAATTCCTGATGATCTTACATCTTTCTCAGCTGCCAAATTGAAAAGAAGACAGTTTTTCCATGATCTTTTATTTCTTCAGTGGAGTCTCTTTTCCTCCCTTCTTCTCTGTTGATATTCTCTGACAGTTTGTCTTGTATATCGATGGATCATCTTCCGGAGTGCCTTGTCTTTATTATTTGTAGACTTAAGACACATCTCATCGTACCATGGAGTCCTGGGTGGTTTGCGAAAACATCCAACTGCTTCTTGGACTGCGGTATCTATGAAAGATGATAGGGCTTTCCAATGACCCTCAACACTTTGTTCAGCTTTCCTCATAAATTGGTCAAGCTTTTTGTCAATGTTGTGCTGGAACAATTAATTCTAGTCATTTTTGCTGAAAATATGGGTACTCTTAGGGGACAACATAAAAAATTACATATTTTTTTTATACAACATGAGGTTAATCTCAATTTTTCCCTAATAAAAATACACTTATTTAATATGGATCTAAAGCTAATTAAACGAGGAAATTTTTCTAAAAGTGGGGTATCAGTAGTATAGTTGAATGATGATAAAAAAAAATTGTGAATAATTTATGATTTTTTAAAAACAGAACTTGGCTTAGTTTAGCCGTTCATAAGTCCTCTTTAAATGGTTTTAAAAATTACAAAGTCTATCTTCATTTCAAGTAAATTTTATATTTTTACTTGAACTTTTTTGTTGCTCTTGAGGTCCACTATCACTCCTATAAAAATTTACCCCTTCTTATGGGACACTTTGTAGACAATTTCCTGATGAGTTCTCTGAAAAGGACAGCACATGAGCTACTCGGTGTGAGATCCAGACATGCGAGATGAACGGAATGGTTGTTGGATAATATATATAAAAAATCCAAAGGAAAAAGCAAGCCTACTTCACGTAGCTCAGTACAAGGAATGAGAAGGTCAGAGCAATATATAAAAACGAAAATAAGGGTTTGATTACAGCCACAAGAAAAGGCAAAAATGAATGGTGAAGAAGGATATATGCAAACATAAATAGTAGACTAGAATTGAATTGAACTGAACTAGACCCAGGAGGAACAAACAACAAAAAGATGACTCAGATATTGGCATATGCAGATGATGTGGTGGTCATTGGAAGATCTCTGGCTAGCGTAAAGGCCAAGTTTGTTCAGCTTGATGAAGAAGCTCAGCATGGGGGTCTCTGAGTCAATGAGGGAGAAAATCAAAGTAACGAAATTAAGGAGAAAGAAACCCGTGCAACGTCAACTCAATGTGTCATCAGCGGCTAAACCTTAGAAATAGAGAATAATTTCAGCTATCTTGGGTCTCTTATCAATGAAGATGAGGAGACAAGATCTAGATTAGTCACAAGAAATAAAGCATACTTTGCTCTGAATAATCTATTCAGAAGTAGGTTGATGAGCAGAACCACTTAATTAGGTTGTACAAGACGCTTGTTAGACCTGTAATAATGCATGGATGTGCCGCATAGATATTTAAAAAAACCGCAACTGAAAAAATTGGTACACTTGAAAGAAAATTCCTCAGACAGATGGATCTTTGGATCAATACAAGAGTCAGGAAGATGAAGAATAAGGAAGAAAAAGGAAATATATCAGCTTTATGAGGAACTAACAGCATCTATGTTCATAAAAGCGTTTTAAATGGCAGAGCCATGTCCACAGGATGGATGACTCAAGAGCAGCCAAAAGACCATATATACATACATACATACATATATATATATATATATATATATATATATATATATATATATATATATATATATATATATGTATATATATGATTCAGATGGGATGCCCTTGAGAGGTTGACCCAGAACTAGATAGCGGGACAATGTAAGGCAGTGATCTCCAAAAGCTTAACATAAAGATAAAAAAAAAAGGAGCAAACTTTATTTACACCTTAATAAATTCTTTCAACAGCGAAATAAACAATTATAAAATAAATATTACTGAACTAGCAACTTACAAATAAACCTTTTTATTAAAATACAAATAGGTATAATAATAATAAAATGTACAGTGATTAACTCAAAATTCGAACCTTTACGTGAAAATTCATTATTTATCAATTAATATTTATATATATTTTATATTTATTTATATGTCAGAAAAGCAGAACACTAAATATATTCATTAAAATTAAAAATAATACCATTCTACTTTAACATTAACTTGTTTGGAAAATCAACTAAAAAATGTAACCTGGTGAAGAGCTGGAAACCTCAGTTTGGTATGTTGCCCATGATATTAGTCTAGCCCAATCATTAGCCACAGGAATTGTTTCAACAGTTTCAGAAGAATCTGCTACAGAAACCTTTCTTGTCTCAGGTTTAATGTGTTCTGTAAAAATTATCAAAATTGTATACACAAATACACTTTTTATATAATAATTCAGAGGGAAGGCCAAAATAAGTAGGTTATAAGGAGGGCTAGAGAAGGAGATGAGTGCAGGAATCTCCACCTTTGTAAGTAGAATAATTAAGCTTTAGATGCCCTACCAACTTGCTTATGACTTCCCAGTCCTCCCTATCCTTATCAATGCCAACAATCATCTCCTAGTGGTGCCTCTGAGGAGTCTGATGGGTCTTGCAAACGGCAGATGCAGTAATCTTCACTTTTGTCAATTCGGTATTTGTACTAGTCCTTTTAGATACCCAGGTTAGGTGGAGGAAGCTTGAGCCACTGATAAATGGCAGAGTGAGTATGAAAATAAACCCTCAATTTGACCCGATTGGGATGCATCCTACTGTAATGCCTTATACAGGTATAGGGCATGGTACTTGTAGCAATCTGCTAGCACACCCATCCATGAGCTATAAGAATGAATAGGAACCAACAATTTAATCTTACTGGTGAGTTGGATCAGGCTTGGTCTCACTTAACAAACTAATACCAAGTTAATTAAGAAGGGTCTGAGAGGAGAAACAAGGTACTTCCATAAACTCCAACAATGACGTGCAACCTGAAATAGACCGAAGAATAATGGTGTCCAATATGTGCTATTCTGGACTTCAGAGACACATATAAAAAGAAAATACTTTTCCTGAACAATAAAATTGGGCTTGCACAAGTCATTAATAAGACCGGTATTAACCTACGGCTCAGAAAGGTGGACTATATCAAGAACCACTGGCTAGGATGTCTGATAACCAAATTCCAAAGAAGCTCCTTTTCGAAGAGCTATTTGGAAGAATACCAATTGGAAGATTCTAACTGTGTTAGGCTGATGATTTTGCGGCTGACGCAAAATCCATCCTTTATATTTGAGACTGGAAGTCGACTACTCAGAACAAGAATGACTGGCAACTGATGTTGCAGAAGGCCTTGACCCCATGTGGGTTGAACACGAAAAACAATGATGATGACTGGTAATTTGGATACTAACGCCAACATACATAATAACTGTAGACTACATTACTAATAGATCCAGAATTTAATTAAAAGAGCTATCCCTCTCCTCCTCAGAAAATTTTTGGAGGCCAATGATCAAAACTTTATTTTTTAGACCATTTAAAGTAGAGAACTTATTAAGTATAAATAATTAAGCATAAGTATTTTATTATATATACATAGTGATTGAATTTCGCTTTGTTAAAACCAGACTCTTAACTCCATTGTAGAGGCTTTATGTTCTATTATAAGAATGTATAATAAAGCTTATTTTATTATTATTATTTATGAACAGAATGGATGGGACTTTAATAAGTTATGTAAATAAGAATACAAGTTTTTTCTATCTCCTGTCCCACAATTTACATTTATTTTATAATCCTTATTTTATATGTACGTTTCGGCGCTTGGCGATCTTCAGCATATCTGCTGATTTATATGTATACATTCTGCTTAGCTAATAATCTTTTATACAATCTCTACTTATCTTTAAAACAATTTTTTTAAATATAATTTACAACAATTATCTGCTATTCCTATTTACATGATGTATTTTTTCTTGAAAAATAATTCAAAATTTATTATCATCTGTTTTCAATGTCGAATACACAATGGTCACTTTATTTTAAAAGACAATTTATATTTAATTCACATATAAAATTATCAAAAATTTAAACAATTAAAACCTGCTACGTTGTAATCTATTACAATATAAATATTATATTATATTATACAATTATTTTATCTCATTTATTTATTTGACTGTTTTATTTGTAGCAACATAATTTAATTAAATGATCTATTTTTAATAATTTAACCCTTTTTTATTTTTTAGATCTATTTTAACCTTAATGGAGAGAGGGTAGAGAATTCTTATGGAATCTGCTAATATATTGACTATTGTTGCACAGTTTACACATAATAATAATAATTCCTTTACATATAATAAAATGGAATCTTTTGAATTATTACTATAATAATTCCTTTACATATAAGAAAATAGAATATTTTCAGTTATTATTATTTAATAATATTTAATTTTTCAATTTCTACATATCATGGGTGATAATTATTCAGGACACAGTCATTATAAAGTTTTTATTAGTGCTGTCATTTCAACCCAAACATGTGGGTCATCATCAGAGCGTGTTTCGAGCACTGAAGGTATTCAAGTACTCAATACTCAATATTTAATACTCAGTACATATTATTATTATATGTAAAGTATGCAAAAATAGTCAATATATTAGCAGGTTCCATATGAATCCTCTCTCCTCACCCCAATTAAGGTTAAAATATATCTAAAAAACAAAAAAGGGTTAAATTAATAAAAAAAGATCATTTAATTAAATTATGTTACTACGGATAAAACAGTAACATAAATAAATTAGATAAAATATTGTTATAATATAATGTAAAATTTATATTGTAGTAGGTTACAAAATAGCAGGTTTTAATTGTTTAAATTTTTTAATGTGAATTAGTGTTTTTGGAACCATTAATTTGTCATTTATTTGTTTTTAAGTATTTTAACAATTTTATATGTGAATTAAATATAAATTGTCTTTTAAAATAAAGTGACCATTGTCAATTCGATATGGAAAATAGACGATAATAATGTTTGAATTATTTTTCAAGAAAAAAGACATGTAAATAGGAATAGTAGGTAATTGTAAATTATATAAAAAGTTTTTGTTTTAAAGATAAATAGAGATTATATAAAAGATTATTAGTTAAGTAGAATGTATATATATATATATATATATATATATATATATATATATATATATATATATATATATAAATGAGCATTTTTTCAGATATGCTAATGATGGCCAAACATTGAAATGTACATATAAAATAAATGTTATAAAATAAAAGTAAATTGTGGGACAGGGGATTGAAAAAACTTGCATTTTTATTAACATTATTATTATTATTATTATTATTATTATTATTATTATTAAATTTCTTTAAGGGATGGAAATGAAGCTTTAAAAATATTTATATTGGACTCTCAGAGTTGAAAATAGTATTATCAATTAAAAATAAATAAATTAAAAATATCAAACAATATTAATTTTAGAGAAGAACAAATGTATCTGAGAATATATTATATAAGACATGTAAGTTATTTAAATGCTACTTATAGACATCTATCTTCGATCGCACTATGGTCCATAAAGAACCCTGGCCTCCTTCACCAGCCATCCACCTACAATTCCTCACTCTAAATCCTCAGGTCCACCTTCACATCTTCCTGCCAATACAACCTTGGTCTTACTCTTTTTCTGTTTCCTCCTGAATGTCCCACTATAATTATCTTGGAGATCCTACTTTCTTCGATTCTGTACACATGATCCAACCATGTTAACCTACATTTCTTAATGGTGGAGACAATATCAGAAGAGTCATATCAATTATTCATATATAAATACGTGAATACTGGCTTATTTAAATATTTAAGTAACTTTCTGGGTGACTCTCCCCTCAAATTTCGTTCACCTCCTAGAATGAAACTTTAGTATGTTTACCTCCTAACTAGCTCGAACAAAATTGTGTTCCTTCCATTTTCCTCTAAAAACACCTTTTGGAGCACTCATTGACTGGAATAATCAGTATCAGCTATGCTAAAAGACGCATTGAAACTAAATATATTCATAAAAATTAAAAATAACATCATACAGAAGGTTAGTCACCTTTCACATTCAAAATTGTACAAGTCAAGGTTATTTAAAGTTAAATAGTATTCTTTGATTTACCTTATTTCTGGTTAATTTTGAAATACACAATAATTTTTACCTTGCTATTTTATGATTGTATATTTTACTAACCAGTTGGAAAAGGAATCGGCCTTTTCGAACAATCACGAGGGCGACTAGTGATCAATTCCAATAGCTGAGTAGCCTCATGGTCACTTAGAGTAAGATCTCTATGGTGTAATTCTTGAAGTTGCAAGAGAAAATTTTCCATTAGCAAATTATTGGGTGAATCATTTCTGTTTTTACTTTCCCAATCATCACTTAATTCTGAAAAGTAAAATAATCAAATAGTTTTAAGATTTTTCACATACATAAAAACATGTTTCACACACTACATTGGTCCAAAAAATTTAATATGAAGCTTAAGGTTTTATTAGTTTTACCTTGTATGAACATCGATGATAGCAGTTCAGCTTGCTGACATTTTGGTAGCAAATTCATTAAATTATAAGCAAAGGGTATACGATGAATTCTTTCGTCTTCAATGGCAACAGCATGTGGCCAGTTCCTTAAATAAAATAGGATAGAAGAATTATTTCAGTAATACACTAGTTATCGGTTATTCATTATTAAGACTTGGCTTATGATACTAGGTCGAAAAATATTAGACCCATGTCCGAGTTTCTGTGCCAAAGCATTCTAGGAGCTGAGAAAAAATATACATATAAAATGTTAACATTTTTCATGTGATTGTTTTCTGCTTTTGCCCTGCATGGATTTCTAGGGGCTATAATATATCAATCGATTTGATTTATTATGTAAAATAAAAAAAACATATTGCCGATTGTATTGAATGCGGATCTTATGAAGGCGAATGGAATGGTCAGTGGTAATTCCTTGGAAGTTCCTCCTGACTAAGTCCGATGGACTCGCTGACCAATAATGAGAGCGGCCCCCTTAGCTTGTTGGAGGGTGTGACGTAGAATTTTATGCCCTACTCACATATCTTTAGTTTACAAAATACCACAGTCATGGGTCTCCCTAAGGTAAAATGCTCATTAACTGGATGTATCCTAACCCCCCATTCAGATCTTTGGGTGGGGACTGCTTTAGGGGATTCATAACGCAAGTTGAAAATTAGGGATTTAAGTATAGGAATGTGAAACTTAAGGAGTTTCAATACAGCAGGGAGGTTAAAATTGGTCACAAACGAGGTTAAGAGGTACAATATAGATACCATGTGACTGCCAGAGGAGAGCTCATTAAGGGAAGGGAAGTACACTATTTGGTACGGAGCAAAAATCTTTAAGGGACATACAATTCTTTAATGACAGGATTGTAGAGACAATATTTCATGGTCGTTGGTTAAAAATCGCTTGACAAATTTTCAAAACTGTGTAATAATTTTCATGTTTCATCATACCCAATTGCCTTTGACAATGGCGAGAGGTTTGCATATTTCTGTTATAATCATAGGAGACATTCTTTTTCCACACAGAAACTGCCATAAGGTAACCTGGGTATCGCCGGATATGAACACAGAAAATCAAATCGACCATCTGTGCATCAACCGAACCTGGAGAAAGTCGCTGCTGGATGTCCGTAATAGACGAGGAGCCGATGTGTCAAGTGACCATCATTTGATTACAGCAGTAATCCAGTTAAAAATAGCAACAAAGAAGAAACCATTCGGATGTGTGCAGAAAATATGGGATATAGACAAGCCTAAAGATGACAGAATTAAACCGCAGTACACTCTGGACCTGTTTAACAAATTTAACACTCTGACTCCTTACAATAATGAAGACCATAATGATGATGAGGCCCAAGAAAGAAGAACAGAAGCCATCGAAAAGAGGTGGAACAATATGAAGGATGTTATGCATGACACCGCAAAGAATGTTCTTAGTGTGAAAGAAGGCCTGATTGGATCTCAACCGTAACCTGGGATGCTATTTTTGATCGGAGCTGGCAAAAAGAAGCCTCGAACAAAAGCAGAACCAGAGACCAAAAGGAGGAAGGAAGGCGAGCTTACAAAGAGACAAATAAGCGGGTTAAAAGACTTTTCCGAAGAGACAAGAGGAACTTCATTAATGGCGTAGCTAGGAATGCTCAAGAAGCAGCTGATAAGGGTGATCTGAAGACACTGTATGGTGCGACGAAAACCCTTTTAAAGAAACAATGTTCTGCAGACAGTATGCCTGTCAGAATTAAACAAAGGAAACCACTTGCTACAGAGGATGGAGCAGATCCAAAGATGGAGGCAACACTTTCAAGAGATCCTAAATCATACCATAAATGATGATGGTAAAGATCAGGGTGAAAACATCTTACAATACAACGTCGAGGAAGATAAAGAGATCTATTCAAACCCCCCTACAGAACAAGTTATTTGGGAAGCTATAAACAAACTCAAAAAAGGAAAAGCACCAGAGGTGGACAACATACCGACGGAACTTATAAAAGTAGATCCAGTAACCATTGCCCATTATTTTTACTATCTTATTACAGAAATCCACATTTCTGTAATAACGAGTACATCCCAAAAGATTGGAAGAAGGGGCTACTCGTTAAAGTTCCCAAGAAAGGCAACCTGGCGGAATGTTCAAACTGGCGAGGAATAACACTGTCATCGGTTCCAGCAAGATATTGTGCCGCATTATTCTGAATAGAATTAAGTAGGTTGTTAATTAAGAAAGGATTCAGACCAGGAAGATTGTGCATCGACCAGATAAACACCCTCAGGATTATAGTACTGGTACTGGGTGGGGGGAACTAGTCCCGCAAGTGGGCCGATAGTGGTCCTTTTTGCCAACCCCTGACGGCTACCTTTAAGGTTGCCGCCGCGTACTTGCTAGAGTGGGAATTTCAGGATCCATTTCCCGGGGCTGATGAGAAATGAAAAGTAACCGACCCAGGTGGGAATCGAACCTGGTACTAAATTGTAATAAAACGAAAGAGATCCGAGTGAATCTTATTATATAAAATCAAACAATATAAAGAGTTTCTAAATTCTGCTGCTTATGGTAGTATGGTGAGCCAGGATGGAGGGGTGATGAAGATGTTGCAAGTCGTGTAAGGAAAGCCCAAAAAGCATTCTCACAGCTAGTGTGGAAATCCCAGAGTTGCCTCCAGGCAGTCGAAGAGGCAAGATCTATGTTTGAGGAGCACCTGAGGATTATCTCCACCTAGGTAGTGCTTCTTAGAGCTGAGTTGCTTGCCAGCAACCGCCAAGGTAAGACATTTTATCTTATAGTTCTATACTTAATTGAGAACTGGAGCTGGTAGGTCTATCCGGTTGAGTCCAGAGGGACACTAGCGGCGAGTCAGGACTCCCGTTGTGATTTTCTGTTTAGAAATCCAGTGCTTTTTGTTCATTTTATTGTGGGACAGGACAAAAGAAGTGTTTATTTTGTTTAGTAATATTTTTTATTGAGAGATTAAAGAACATGAGTTTATTATTGTAAATTGTAGTGGGAACTTTAATACTAAAATTGTTGTTCCTCGGACATAGGGAAAAAAGTCATCTGAAAAAACACCTTTTTACGTAATAATGTTACGTACAGATAGTGTTTCGGAAAATGAGTCATAAAGAAGTGGTCGTAGATATACCGGAAGTAAAGGATCTGGAAGAGGGTCCTTCAAAACCAATAGCGGCAGAGGCTGAGTCGATTAATGTGCCCTGTGAAATCAAAAATGCGGCTGTTAGACCTAGTACAGCAGACGAAGTATGGGTGCAGCCACACATCGGTACTGACACGGAATCGTGTAAATGCATGGAAACGACAGATGGAGATACTGTGGCGGAAGGGGTTAGGGCAAAGGTCAGTCCTAAGCCTAAAAGAACTATGAGAATGAGAGAGGAGTATCGCTCACCTTCACCAAGTAGAGACTTAGATAGGCCATCTGGTAAGGCCACTGTCGTCGCAGAAAAGGTTAGGGTTTACCTGGAACGGAAGAAGGCAAGCAAAGAACAACAAATCTATGTTAACAAAAAGTTGGAGAACATAGCTTTATGATCTAACATAGATTTAGATAGATGGGTAACGTTTGGAAGGATATTGTTACGGGAATGGAAGCCAAGTGGCAAAGTGGCCGCAGCTTGGTGAGAGGAATCTCACCAAGGTTAAGGAGTTCTTGTTTACCGAAGAATTGTACGGTATCAGAGGTAGTTGCTCCTATGGTAGTCAGGGCACTAGCTGATAACTTAGGGACCGAAGGCGAGGGGAAGGCATGGGTTTTTCCAACACTCAGGAAAGGCGACGAAATTGGAAATTTAGAAATGACAGTGGAGGAAGATCAGATCACTCACCATGTGGCGGCTATTAAGGCAGAGGAGAGGATTAAATTTCCCATTATCGTGGAAACACCCCAGGTGGAAGATCTCTCAGTTGGACCCAGCACCAGCAGGTATCAGGAACTGTCACCTTTCCCGGTGTCTAACAGCTGGAGCGCACAGACCCCGACCTGTAGAAGCACAAATCAGAAAGGAGAGAAAAAGGTAGAAGAGGAATCTTCCTTTACGGTTGTGAGAAGGAAGAAAAAGAAGAAGGTCACCCAGACTGGAGAGAAGGAGAAGGAACCTTCAGGTAAGGTGCCAAAGGCAAGGCCATAAAAGATGACGTTTGCTAGCGTGTTGGCTGGAGTCCTCGTGACACACAGAAAACAAGAGGATATGGCGACATATGTAACGATCAGGGGCCAGGACTCTGAAAGTGGAAGGTGGTCTCCCTCTCAGATTTTCGAACAGCTTCAGGCAGAAGAAGAACTACAGGAGATTGGCGCAAAGGTCCGGATGGTAAGAGTCATAAAGGAAGAAGGGGCGGTTTTGGTAAGAACAGAGGGCGCCGATCAAGCGCGGAAGCTCTTTGTACGGCGTGCAAGCTAAAGGAGAAGAGACTTCAGGTGATGCTACCAGCAGCAAGGAGACCTAGGGTCGAGATTAAGGGGGTTCCTAAACATTGGGATGAGGCGACCTTGGAGGCCTACCTCTGGGGCAAGAACTGTAAATATTTTAATCCTATTTAACACTTATCAGTACCTAGTAATCCCTTTACTGTATTCTCGTAGCTTGTTTAATACCATTCGACATCTTCAAAAAACGCCACAGTTTAGTTGTTTGTTTCAAAGAAGAAACATGACAGTGTCCTAAGAAATCCTCGTAATTTTGAGGCATTACTGAAGAAAAAATTTTTTTTTCACTGCCGCTGAAGAAACTCGTGAAATTATTAAATATGAAGGGAAATGTGTCCTTGACCAGCGCACTGCGCGGCGTTGGTTTGAAAAATTTAGCAGTGGAGATACGACGTTGGAAAGGAAGAAGGACTCCGGGCGACCATTAATGGATATTGATGAGGTTCTGCAGGAAGCTGTTGAGTCAAATCCGTCCACAAGTACTCGCGAACTTGCCAGGGAGTGTGGTGTGTCGAAAGATACTGTTAGTCGCCATCTACTCTCCATGGGAAGGTGAAAAAGAACAGTAGACTGGTCCCTCACGAACTTACTCCTCAGCAATCAGCTAAGAGGTTAGAAATTTGTGAAAATTTATTGAAAACCCTTCTGATATGAGATTTTACAGGAAAATTGTCACCTGTGATGAAAAGTGGTTTACTGGCGAAATCCGAATACCCGTGAGCAATGGCTAGATCGCGGTCAAACTGCTTTTCCGGTTGCTGCAAGGGGCAATTTGAAAAAAAAATCCATGCTTTGCGTTTTTTTGAATTTTGAAGTGTTATTCATCACGAATTTGTTCCTGATGGATGCTCTATGAATTCTGAACTCTACTGCGAACAACTGGAAAGATTGTACGCGAAGTTGTCAGAGTGTTATCCTGCTTTGATCAACCGAAAAGGAATTTTATTCCAACAAGATAATGCTCGTCCTCACACTTCCCGTCGAACCAAAGAAAAGTTTAAAGAACTTCATGGGTTCGAACTCCTGCCTCATCCACCATATAGTCCAGACCTCGCACCATCGGATTACTACTTATTTAGATCCATGACCCATTTTCTTCAATGGAAAAAAATTGATAATTTTGCGAAAGTTGAAATAGCGGTCCAAGAGTTCTTTGACAACCATCCCAAAGAGTGGTATCGAGCAATTGGCTATCAGATGGCTGATGACGCTAGATAACAATGGACTATACTTTGAGTATTAATTGTATTTTGTATCGAAGAGATAATAATACAAATATTTGGTTGAAAAATGGTAATTTTTTTTTTTTTATACGCTATTACTAAAACCTATTAGTCCGTGATATATACCCCGTTTTATCAAATTATTAACATCCGGCTGAGACTTCGTAAATAGCTTGATCTCGTCATAACCTACAAATATTTTATTTACGAAAATTCTCAGAATCGGGGTGTTTTGAATCTGGAGGTCAGCAAACTTTGTCCCATTTGCTTTCCACTTGAATCGTAAGATAACTTGAGCGCAAAATCGAGAAAAAGTGTGCCCTTCAAAAATATTGAGCCGTTTGGCGTGACTTACATCCCCAAATTGTCAAAATAACGAGGTTATATTGGCCAAACGACGCAATATTTTTATAGGCCACCTTTTTTTATCGATTTTGTGATCAAATTATCTTACGATTCAAGTGAAAAGCAAATGGGTATTTACGAGTTTTAGTACCTAATTAAATAGACAAAGTTTGCCGATTTCCAGATTGAAAACGCCCAATTCCGAGAATTTTCGTAAATAAAATATTTGTAGGTTACGGTGAGATGAAGCTATTTACGAAGTTTCAGGTGGATGTTAATAATTTGATAAAAAGGGTCTGTACCACGGACTATATAGACCCTACCAGTAAAGTAGGAAAAGATACTCGCTTAAAAAAACATAAATCTTAAATTTTCTACTTTTCTGCTGGAAATTGGGCAATAGTTTATATGAACTTTTTTGTAGATCATGATGTCTACTATCAGCATTTTCTCCACGGAGAGTAGATGGCGACCAACAGTATCTTTCGACACACCACACTCTGGCAAGTTCACGATTACTTGTGGATGGATTTGACTCAAAAGCTTCCTGCAGAACCTCATCAATATCCATTAATGGTCGCCCGGAGTCCTTCTTCCTTTCCAACGTCGTATCTCCACTGCTAACTTTTTCAAACCAAAGCCGCGCAGTGCGCTGATCAAGGACACATTTACCTTCATATTTAATAAATTCACGAGTTTCTTCAGCGGCAGTTAAAAATTTTTTTTTTCTTCAGTAATGCCTCAAAATTACGAGGATTTCTTAGGACACTGTCATATTTCTTCTTTGAAACAAACAACTAAACTGTGGCGTTTTTTGAAGATGTCGAATGGTATTAAACAAGCTAAGAGAATACAGTAAAGGGATTAGTAGGTACTGATAAGTGTTAAATAGGATTAAAATATTTACAGTCCTTTGAATACTTGAATTTGATAAAATGGTAAAAAAAAAAATGTATACGCCCTATTTATTTATTATACATTTGAATTCATTGAATGAAATCACCAATATGTTTTCTTATTCTACACAAAAAAAACAAATAGGTTGATATATTATAACCTAGAAATCCACGAAGAGTAAATGCAGAAAACAATAATATAAAAAAAATGTTAAAATTTCGTAAAATATTTTCTGAGTTGAAAACGTCTGAATTCGTAAAACGCTAACTGGTTTGTTGTATACCATTATTTTAGAGACTCGAAGTTTTTTTTTATGATATACTTTTATACTATCCTAACCATTAATTTATCTGTTCTTTTATTCTTCTATATGAATTAAAACTGATAGTTATTAAGTATATAATTATGGAAAATACTTATTCTGCAATAAAAAATCTAGTCAAATGTTACATAAATGTTTTTTTTAAATCGTAGTAATTTCTATATTTTATTATAATCTTAAAAACAAGCATGACATTATACAATCCTCCAAAATATTAAGATAATAAAAATAAACATAAAAATAACAATGGCACTTACTCTAAAGGATTTTGATGTAGTGAAGATGGGTCAAGCGATATCGGAGGAGTTATTTGCTGGTTGTGGCACATTAGCTGGAGATGATCAAATGTCAATAGATTTGAAATGCATTCAGCATCAACTCTCCAAATCTGCAATTCAATTAAATTTTCTTTACATTATATGAAAAGAGAATAGGATTAAGCATATTCTAAGAGTTTTGTACATTAAAATATTTGCTACAAAATAAACAAAAAAAAAATTATTTAAGGATCTTAATTTATTTTAACAAGAATTCAAGATCCAAAATTGTATTGTAAATCTTCCAAATATTTTTTTTCACTTTTATTTTTCTTCTTACGCTGGCATTAAGCTTCTTTAGGAACATTGAATTAAATAATAATTCTCAATTTCGGTCTGTCCTCGTCTGCTTTTTGTTACCTTTTCTTATAAACGGTAATTAAGATTGGTCAAGCTCTTTTTCTTTTTCATAGCAGGGAGCCGTATGTTTTCATTAGAAGCTTTCTGGTGTCATCCATTTCGTGAACATGACTTAACCACCTTATCGTCTTTCACTTTATGGAAACCATTCTTCAAATTCAATCATCAATTTAATCTATTATTTCTCATCTTTATTTTATTCTCCTCTTTTATTGGTCCATACGTCCAGCGGGGTACTTAAATTTCCCTAAGGTATTAATTTTTTTTGTGCGTGTGTTCAATATTTTTGTTACAATATGTAACCAATGGACTTGAGATAGCCAGGGCTTTCACCATAATCCTATTTTTCCATATCTCTTGGTAACTCAAAAACAGTGCCGGCCTTAGACATCCGGCTCCCCGGGCAGTCACGTCATCTCCCCTCCCCCTAACAGAATTAAATTTATTTCTTAAGTTGTTTTATACTATGCAGTATTTGAATTTTATTTCATTAAATATTTCTGTAATACAGTTACTTTATTAATAGGCTAAAATTTGTGATTTTAATACCTTTTGTATTTATTTTTTATATTCTAACAAGTGGCGAGCGCACCTTATGATCTTCGCAATTGCCTCGCCCAAAGGCACTGCTCAAAAACACCTGTTTACATATAAGTCGACTTACCTCGGCTTCCCCTATCTTTGTTCCCTTTCTTCTTTTTCATTAAACTAATTTTACTTTTTCCCTAAAACTCCGATATTATTTACAAATGTATAGATTGCATACATTTATAAATATTTTTTATATAATATCGCAGGATAAGGAAATGTAACATTACTTTAAGCTAACTAAGTGCCGACCAAGTTCGCCTTCGGCCTGCTAACAAAGCCGTGTTATAGTTACTTTCCTAAATGCTTTAACAAAAAATATTAATAAAAAAAACTGATTTTTAAATCGCCTTATTATTAACGTAGCCACGAGGGTTGGTTTGAAAAATTAAAATAAACAACTGAATCTTCATTTATTATCCGTTTACAGTTTTCAAAAACAGGAAAGCCCCATGCAATTAATTGCTGAGATACTGATTAAACCTTAAGCTTAGAAGGTTGTAAGTTGCATTTTAGATCCAGGCATAGTCAAGATGATTGATCCTATACAGCTGTAAAATAATTTATATAGTTATTCTTAGTCTCTAGAGAACGAGCTTATAAGATTGAAAACTTATGTTATTTTTTTTTTTTTTTCATTTTGATAAAGGTACAAATATAGGGAGAGTCGAGTGTGTCGACTACTACCAGACAATGAACATATATCCCTTCACCCCATATTTTGAATAGTCCCTTTTGTAAATATATATATATACATATATATATATATATATATATATATATATATATATATATATATATATATATATATATATATATATATTTACTTTAATTAATTTAAAATTACTTCACTGAAAACTAGAAAAAATGTACTTCAAAGAAAAGTAGAATTTGTTGATGTTAAAATCATTTAAAGAGGACTTTTGAGCAGATAAACTATGTTAAGTTTTGTTTTTAAAAATATTATGAATTATTCGCAATGTTTTTTTATCACCCTTCAACTATACAACAGATACACCACTTTAAGAAACACTTCCTTGTTTAAAAAGCTCCATATTGATTAAGTTGAGGGTTTATTACGAAATACGTTGAGATTCAACTGCAGTTTTATAAACAGATGCGGTGTTTTGATATCCTGTCACTTAAAAATCCCCGTGCTTTCAGCAAAAATGACCACAATAAATTATTGTAAAATTTTATTTATATTTTTTTTTCATCATCATAGATGTATTAAAGTAAACATAACTGCATGAATAAACATTTTATATGTATAAAAAATTAAATAATGATATTTCGAATATTTATAATCTAAAGTGATAATGAAACTGTGGTTTTGCTAAAGGACCATCTAAATGTTTCTAATCCTAATATTTACATTTCCAAGAAAATAAATAAAATTTTAAACGAAAATATTAATATTAGAAACATCTCATTTAAAGATAGAAAATATGAAATAAATAAAGAATTAACATTGGATGGATAAAATAGGGGTGCATGAAACGAATTTTAAAAGTCAACTACCTTCAGGATTAAAAGAAAAGATATTGGAAACATGTGTGTATGCAGTAATTTAATGTGGATATCAGACATGGTCAGCAATAGAAAACTATTATGATAAATTATCGGGGACACAAATGCAATTTGTGATAGGTATCTAAATAAAAGAGCACATCAGCAACAGAAAAGTGCAATCTACGATTGAAGTTAAAAGCCTAACAAAAGAAGCACAACTGAAATGGAGGTGGGCCGGACATGAAGAAGTGTAAATTGTTTATAAACTAGACTCCTACGTCCCAAGGGAGGGGCTTTTTGTTCTGTAAAGAATATAAATAAAACTGCTATTAATATTTTATTAAGTAGGATGTTAATAAACAAGAAAATATATGAAAAATCCAAGGGCAAAGCCAATAGGGCAGGCGACCCAGCAACGTTTACATGTACAGAATACTTTAACACGTTTTAGTCAGTTACTTTTTACGTACACAAATTTTGATTCTTTTTATCTAACATATTAACTTACGATTTTTTTAAAACTTAATTGTCTGTTTTCGTCCATTATAATTATAAAACAGTAATTATAATTGTATTACAGGTGGAAAACTGTTCTTTTATTTGGAATAGGAATTAACTGAGGCATTTAGTGAAGGATATCATGGTTTTAAAGACGCCTAAAAAAAACTGGGTTGAGCATGTAATTTTCTTTTCTTTCTATAATCTTTTTATTGGAATAATAATAATACAATCTGCCACGATCAAGGGCATTGGGCATTAGGGCTCTATGTGTACATTCATATATGTAAATTAAATATTTGATTTTGCGGCAATTAGTTAATGGTTTGAGAGAAAAATAAGACACTCCAAGACAAACCTGATTTGATCGCCCTTAATTAGCGATAAATTCTTAGCAATAAGGCCCTGAAAAGATTAGATAGTAAACTCAAAATCCAGTTAGACTGTATTCTTTTGATATTTTATAGCTAAGGATTTGTATATAAGGATGTGATCAAAGGTGCGTCGCATCGGTTGATTTGGCGCAATTAACAGACCTAGGTTTAAATAAATACCATGGGTATACCATTGAAATTTCTCCGCTTAATCAGGACGACAATGGATGACGCGAGGTGCGCTATTAAAGTACAATCAGACACTTCACCGGAATTTGTGTCAGACAGGGTCATGAATTCGCCAGTCTGCTATTTAATTTAGCTTTAAAAAAGGTCATACGTGACCCGGGAATACAGACAACAGACACTATTTTAATAAGTCTGTTCTGATTCTTGGCTTGACAGATGATCAAAATCTCATTTTAGGCTCCTCCAAGTCGCTCAAAAGCAAAGTTCTCAAGTTGTACTAAGCTGCAAAAGATATCGGAATGATTGTTAATCAAGAAAAAATTAAGTATTAGCAGTCAGCGACTCTTAATAATGCCGATATAAGTTTTTTTTCGAACAAAAATCTTAAACGTTCGTCATTATCCCGCTCTATCAAGTGCCAGTTATATAAGATCCTCATCAAACCTGTCCTAACATACGACCCGTGTTCCTGGACACTTATAAGTTCGAAGAAAAAGGACCTTCTTATTTTTAAAAGGAAAATCCTTCGCCGCATGAAAAAAAAAAAATGAATGAGTTGATTGCCTTTGTCTGCCTTTTGAAACATTATTTTATTACATTTTTAAATCAAAGTAAGGGAGTTATTCGGCATTTGTAAAAACCCTACTGCGCATAATTGCTCTGGTGCGCGCAACACACAACTTTCACTTACTCTTTGAACTTTGCTCAACTTTGAATAGAGATTATTTTCTGGCCATGTTGATTATTATAATTTTTTTTAAATTTTATACTGAGCTAAAGCTAAAATATTGCAGCTAACAAATCATAAATACTATTAAAATAACAAAAGTCCTATTTATTATATCACCGGTTGATTATGGATTGTACGATTCGTTGATTATGGATTGTACGACTATTAGTTATTAAACTGCTATTTTCCATTGCACAGTTTATTAAAACGGAATTAAGAAATTTGAATTGTCTGTCATAGACAGGTCAAAGTTGTCATACTAATTGTAAGTGGATTCTGTTGGAATATCGCAAAGAGAAAATTTATCAAATTATTCACTAATTTAATTTTCTAAAAGGTTACATGAAGATTTTTTCGGAATAAACGGACGATATATACCTAAATATTTAAATATATTATCAGATCTAGAATTATTAAAGTACAGTAAATATATTTAAGGTTATAAACGTATCTATGAAATATTTTTATATTTCACTTCTGCTTTCACACAAGTACAATGAAATAGTAGTGGATACTTTAGGAACATCACAAATGGAAGATTCATCAAATTATTCAATAATTTAATTTTCTAAAAAGTTACATGACAATTTTTCGGAATAAACGTTGATACCTAATTATATAAATATAATATCAGATCTATAATCACTAAACTACAGTGAATATATTTAAGGCTATAAACAGATGCTTTATACATGGAATGATCTTATATTTTACTTCATCTTTCACAAAAGTACAACGAAATAGCTTTTTTTAACAATGTCATTAACTTGATTAGGTGGATTTTAAATACTTTCTACAAACATAAAAATATTTTTTAAAC